ACATACCCGATGCTGGCAGCTGTTGTCGTACACGACTGTCCTGGGGGCCGTCTCGAACCGTGTCCTGAAGATCTCGAACGGATGGTGGGGTGACTCGCAGCTCCGCATGGCCTCGAACCCGTAGCAGACTCCGTGTGGGCAGTAGATGGTGAAAAGACCCGGTGTCAGGGATGGATGACCGTACGATTCTTTCCGGCAGCTGTCCTTATCCCTCGGTTTCCTCGTTTCGTCCACAGNGTACCCTAGGCAGACCGCAGAGCTGAGGAAGTGAAGGGAAGAAGGAAAGAGAAGATGGAGCGGAAGAAGCGGGGTAGCTGTCAGGAGAAGGAATAGGAACCTGGTCAAACGTTTGAGCCAGGACAGCCAAGAGGGAGAGGATCAGAGTAGAAATGTCAGAAGGAATGCGGCCTGCTTCAGTTACACTGCAGACAAAGTCTGCTAGTACCGGTGCCCTCTTCTGTAGATGTCCCAGGTACTTGGAGAACAGATTGTTGTTCAGCACGATCTTACCCTCCGCCACTTTCTTCAAGGTACCTATGGCGTTTCTGTCACCTGCGATCTGCATCATTCCACACACGGGGGTACTTCTCGCGAGTTCAGACAGGAAGGTGCTGTACTTCGGCGGAGCGCGCGTTGCGTGTCCCTCTTCCACCAAACGTCTCAGGACGGCTGTCACGTCTTCACGCCCAGTCCGGTCCAACTTGTCCTGCAGCTCTTCCATCTCCGTGGCGGTGATCCCCGACTTACCCGAATACTTACCTGAATACTTACCTGCCTGAATACTTACTGTGCCAAATATAAAGTTAAGTTGTTTATTGCAAATTCATGCCCGAGGGCTAATTGCAAACAGACATTGACAAGAAAAATGTGGTGATATAAGACTATTTGGACATAAAGGATAAACAGTAGATATGCAATATATGAACAGGTAAGAGGAACAAGGTAACTGCTATAACACTATCCTTTACTTGCAATGCTAGTAAGTATCTACACAATCAAAGCTTCTGTTACATAGATTACATACATTATAAAATAACACCTACCACTACACAGCTTGTGGCTGAGAGCCGTTCGTGTTGTTCCCGTGCTTCGTCACAGGAGCACAAGAATAGCACGTAATCAAATTGCTGTAATTTACAATGTCTGTTGCAAAGGACGCTGGGATATGTTGACCAGCAGTCGGCGTCTAAATGATTGGGCGCCATTTTGTTTTCTTCGTTTAGAATGCTAGTATTTCCTCAGACGTTTGTTATGTCTTACACTTGTAATCCCCCTGTGTTGATTAACAACGTAAGAACCAGTAATGCAATGTATGTATATTTTCAATATAAAGTTGATATAAATAAGATATAAATGTTGATTTGCTTTGTTGTTTGTGGCGCAAGTTATGAGGGGCGAGTATAAGCCAAGCTGACTCCAACGAATTTGTACGTCAGGTAGCATATTGTCCAAGAACGCGTGTGTGCGTTTTCTTCTAATATCTTTTACACAATATAGATGTGAATACCAACGCAGGGCACATGAATAAAATCTGTTCTACCTTAGCCCCATTTTTGTTGTGTTTTCTGGCTATTTGTTGGCGTCCCGTATGCACGGGCGCCATCTTGTTTTTTTACGATATGCGTAGATCGAAGTTACAGACTAGGTTTAACCGCTAATTTCCCTGTTTTAGAATATAAATGATAGTATTTCATTCTCCATAGCTATCACTGAGTATTTTGGAGTTTATTTGGAATTATCCAGGTGCATGTAGTGCTGGCGCTTTCTCCGAGTTCCATGTTCCCAGTTTTCTGTAAATCGAATGAATTTTCTGTAAAACCCTGTAGAGAAAGAAGAACATCGAGTTAAACTGTATCAATTTGCGATCTTTTTCTAATCTATAACTGACCAAGAACATTATACAGCTGATCTATATTTACAAATCTAGTTCTGCTGAGTGCAAGTGAACACAACATCGGTAAATGTCTGCCGAAGTTCCGATCAGTAGAGAGCCGTGCGCGGCCCCGGGTAAGTCTGCAAAGCTTCGTACGTGTGCGCGGCCCAGCACACGTACGGTAAGATCGACGATATTCGCACGAAAGGGTTGCCTATTGTACGCGTGCGCGGCCCAGCGTAAGATCGACGGTATTCGCACGAATAGGGTAGTCTGCGCGCCCCCGCTCTCAGGTGAAGAAACTCGCAGCCTGCGACTTTCGTCCCCTAGGACGACGAAACTCGCTGTGCGATTCTCTGCAAATCGCATACGATTATATACCTGGCGCCAGGGCTTGGTTTGGTCCGGCAGGTTCAATCAAGGAGACCTCCTTGGTTGGGCCAGGAGAATAATACAGGTGAGACAATAGATCGGCTTGGGTTGTGACTGTACCTCACCTCACCTGTCCCCGAGTTTATCACACTTGTAAGCCGACAAAAGTCCCGACGATTACGACATTTTGCAGACAAGATATGTCATGATCATGGAACGATGTTCCTTAGTAGTTCAGCCCTACCCTAGCCCGATACATTGTATCTTGTATTTCGAATTCCGCACAATATATGTATGGAAGCAATGGATTTACGTAACGCGATAACACTAAATTAAACGGATCGTTGTGCTTGAATCAACTTAGAATTTTCTTTTCTGGACACTTTATTAAAAACGTTCTTCTGTTGTACTTTCCTATTGAGCGTCCTGTAAGTGTTATAAAGTATGGTGGGTAGAAAAAGAAGGAACAGACACCTAAGCCTAATTTGTGACATTTTCAACGCGTTTTTCACACTTTTTGATTGTCTCAATAAGCGAGGCTTGCTAAAATGAAAAAAAAAAGTTATGTGTTTTTATACGCCCCGATTTTGGCCAACTGACACGCAGCAGCTAATTGATAAAAATCAACAGATGTTTTTCTGTGCGGAAGAAATCTGATCAGAACGGGAAGTGTGAAATTTCTAAGCGTTTGTTTGTTCAGCGTTTTTTAATAGGCTAGGAGCAGATACTTGTAGTAGGCCAAGGCTAACAATTTTCACCAATAGTCTTGTCCAACACTACGCTTTCTCGACTTTGCAACGATATCACAGATATCATACTTCCACAGATCCACAATTCTGTCGATTGCAAACCAATGTAGCAACGATCATTAAAACTTTAAACCCCGACGAAATGGACAGAGCTAATACGTTGCCAATCGCTCTTTTGAGGTACTGAACTAGCCTACTACTATAGTACAGTTTGACATTTCGAAGTTGTCTTCGATAGGAAATACACATTTCTTCTTTTTCACAAGTTTTAACTAACACACGAACAATGCCTATGGGACAATAAGGTCATTATATCAATAGCCATTCGCTCGTGCAGTATGTTGTCCAAGTGATATCTGCTTAAAGCATGTACAAAGGCTCCTTAAAGAATTCAAAACTTTTAGCTATAAAATGTTAAACTGGTCATTGAACGCTCTTTTCATGTCTTTGATTTTGCACAAATACACATACACACGCTCACATACATGAAGACATACAGTCATACATACAAAAGCACATGACATACACAAAGTACAGAGAGAAAGAGAGAGAGAGATTGAGAGAGAGAGACAGTGAGAGTTAAAATTATTGTTGCCACTACTGGTACATGTGGTTGTAGTAACTAAGGCATATTTATTGTCTTGTAACATAAAATTGATAAATAAATAAATACAAAAATAATTTCTAAAATAGTTACAAGTTATGTCTGAGATTACACGTTTACATATATGCATACAACAATTGTAAGGCATGTTATTGAAAATCATACATGTACTGTACATACCGGTATATGTTACAAAAGTGTGCAATTTGAAATACATGTATAAAGCTGTATGTACAATACAAAAACAAAACATTGGAAGTCACAACAAACTTCTGTACAGAACATTTAAGTTGCATCCTTACTTGCAAACTACCACCCCCAAAATTTTTTTTTTATATTTTTTTTGGAACCTGGCACTATCTAACATACATGTACAGAAGAGAATACAACAAACTGCATGGCCAAATGCCAGTATGCAAACTTCGAAAACATAAGCCATATAACTTTCTAGTGTACTAAGCTTTTTTTTCAACTTTTATATTTTCTAGTGTTTTTTTTAATGGTTTTTCATCTTTCTTTTCCTGTCTTAGCATTTTATGTTTGGGGGATTATCTTGAATCTGCCACTACCTAACATACAGAAGAGAATACAAGAAATTGTATGGCCAAATGCCACATTAAAGTAAACTTTAAAAAACATCAAGCAACACTACTTTCTACTTTCTAGTACTAGTATATTAAGCTTTTTTTCTTTCAGTGTTTTTAATATTTTTCCATCTTTCTTTTCATGTTTGACCATCTAATTTTTTCTGCATTGTGCATTTCAATTGTAATGTTACTAGTATGTATTACTTGTCAACTATTTCTATTTTCATTGTCATCAGTTCAACATCTATAACAATGGCTTTTGCTATATATATATATATTTGGTAGCTGTGGCGACTCAGTAAGCCTTTTGTATTATCATACAGTCACAGTACATACAGTCATACATGTACAGTCATCAGCTTGCATACCGGTATTCCATGATGCTGAAGCATGGTGAACAGTTCACCTACCCACCAGTCCCCGAATACTGACTGCATGTCAACGACTTGTCAGCCTCAACAGTACAGTCTGGGGGCTTCAAGGGTAATAAAGACATCCTCATCTCTACTAAGTTTGGACTCCCCTAATATTGGAGCCATGTCGACGACTTATCAGCATCAACAGGACAGCCTTCAGGTCCATGGGTAGTGATGACAGCATCATCTCTAATAAGGTTTGGAATCCCCTAATATTGGAGGCATGTCAACGACTTGTCAGCCTCAACAGTACAGTCTGGGGGCTCCATCGTTAATACAGACATCCTCATCTCTACTAAGTTTGGACTCCCCTAATATTGGAGCCATGTCGATGACATGTCAGCATCAACAGGACAGCCTTCGGGTCCATGGGTATTGGGTAGTGATGACAGCATCATCTCTATTAAAGTTTGGAATCCCCTAATACTGAAGGCATGTCAACAACTTGTCAGCATCAACTGGATAGCCTTCGGGTCCATGGGTAGTAAAGATAGCCTCATCTCTATTAAAGTTTGGAATCCCCGAATACTGGAGACATGTCGACGACTTCTCACTCCCAACTGGACAGTCTGGGGGCTCCAAGAGTAACAAAGACATTAAGACATCCTCATCTCTGCCATATCTGGAATCTACCAAATACTGGAGGCATGACGACAACTGTGTCAGCCTCAACTGGACAGTCAGGGGGATCCATGAAGATATCCTTATGGCAATACCATGTCTGGAATCCAGCAACTTCAGCTGACATTAGCACAGCTATCATCCACCAATGGCACATGACAGGTAATGCCTCTGTTGTCCTCAAAATGGGCAATGTTTTATCTGTTTCATCCAAGGGAGATGATTTCCATGCATCAGTTATTGTCTGTATTAACTAGCTGAATATCAGTATATACAAAGAATGCAACTCCAGAATGTTCAAATTCCATCCTTCATGTCTTTACCTCCTTGACAGAGGGATCTTGACTTGAATTGCTCATCAACCATGAATGTAATGTTCATCCATAAGGAACTCTTTCCATAGTTCATCACTTCAAGCCGGTATCGGTATCAAGGTTATCACAAAGATAAGTTTCACTTCACTTGGTAAGGATTTCCATTTGCAATATATGTAATATGTGGTCCTTTTTCCACTTCACTTTGTATGTACAGTAACAGTGACATGTCTGCTACTATTTCTCATGCCTTTGTCACAGCTTCTACAGGATTGTCAGGTAGAACTGTTCCAAGGATGGCATTTCATCTCCTCAGGTTCCAAGTTAACTGTAGATATGTATGCACAAAGCCAGGCATCAGATGTGTGACTTCAGTTATCTTGGTGTCATCTTTCATCTCATGTGAGGGGATTGCTGTTTTACAGAGATGTTGTTCTTCTGAGTATGGTGTCACTGAATACTAGTAATACGATGTAGTATGTATTGCTGCTGTGAAAGCTCACATTTTTACAGCACAGTTGCAGGCTTGATATGGCACTGTATTCTGTAGCCACCATGCACCATGTTTTCATGCCAATGTTGTAATAAGTCAACACATGCAATGAAAATCTGCAACATCATGCAGGAACTGCCAGGGTCTTCAAAGAAAACACAGCAGGAACACAGCAGTGCTTTGCAGTCGGTCTTTGCTCTTCCTCAGCAACCACATTGTGTGGCAATCTTCACAAAACTTTCCATCTCATCTAACTTGCTTCAAGCTGACTGAGGTGTCATATCTGTACTCTGTACATTCTGTCGAGTCACTGGTTACTCTGTTTTTTTGTCAAAGCCACCAACATTATAAATTCCTTGCAATGGATGTTCGCAATGCCTCAGAGTATGTGCTGGCAAGGGATTGCTCTTCTCTCCTTTGTCCCCAAATTATCACTTTGATCCATTGTCTCCAGGCATCTTCAGGCATCTTCCTTCATCCATTCCTTGCCTTTCAAGTAAATTTTATCTTCTCTTCTTCTTATCATTCCATAACTCTCTTCTGCAGCTTTCCCATCCTCACGTTACCACTGTCTGGTCTCCTGTCTCCAACATCCTTCTGCATCCTTCCAGGTCACTCCAAGTAATTTTTTCACAGATCTACTACCTGACTGACTGCAAAGCTGTGTGTTTGCTGTGTGAGGTGTTATTTTCCAGTAGTAATAGGCCTGGCAGATTTTGTGGTGTGCATATGGATGGCTCCTAGTGTGCTCCTGGCAGCATGCCTGAGTAACCGGTCAAGGGGGCTACTAGTATATAATGTAACCCCTGAGCAGCGAGAGATGGTGTAACCCAGGCTAATATGGCTCCTGTCTGTGTATGTTGAACACAGAGCTGGTAGTGCTGTCATTTGCGGAGCTATGGCTGCAGGTTATACTGCGCTGAGAAGCTGGCAGGTACCTAGGCTTTTGTTTACCAGGAAGGAAGCAGATGGATGTTAGGCTGCAGACCATGAGATGTTGGTTAGGTGTGATCTCGTCCCCGAGGAGGCTGGGGTGGCAGTGGCAACCTCTGCTGCACCTCCTAAAGACATGAGAAAACAAACTATATTGTCAACTGAATTACTACATAATCCATGCAAACAGAAATTATACAGCTGGTTTAATTAAAAGCAAATACATGTACATGTGTGTACTAGTATAACAATTACAACAGTTAACTTCCCTCCGCTGTGTTGTACAGTGAATGTTAAATTCATTACCAACACATCTATGTACATTGAACATATAATCATTATGTTAGTAACTTACCCACAGAAAAAGATAGGAAAGCTTCAAGATGAAAACTGATTTGGCATGTGCAACTGGGTACTGCAGCTAAATACATTGCAGGAAAAGAAATAAGATGGGAGCTATATTTTAAGTTAAGACATGTTCACTCATGAGGTACCTGAACCAGTCTCTGCCAGAAGGCCCTCTCCCCCTCTCTCCTCTGTGGTTGGGGTACCTGTCGTTCTTCTCTCAGAAGAAGAGCTCTGAGCTCATCAGTGTCCATGATTACCACTGGGTCTATCTTGTGGGTATTTATCAGTCCAACAAGGTACTCATTGTAGTGGAGCTTGCATAGCCCTGCATGTCCAGCAGGTGCTTCAAGACCACAATAGTCATCTCGGAGGCCATCATTGGTTTCCTTTTGTTCCATGACCTTACACCTGTTCCCACCTGAAAGAATAGCAAATAACACAAGATGAACTTGACAGCACACCTGTCTTGAACTACATTTGTTTTGTTTTTCTATCATCAAAAAGGTAAACAGAAGCCTAGCAATATTTTTAGAATTGTTTGCTATACACCCTTCAAGGCACAGCTTTTCATAATTATACATTTGTATACAAGTTTTGCATTTAAATTTCGGTTGCATGTTATAATGCCCAATATGTATATTGAATGTGCCATCTCATATGATGCAGTACCTAGATGTCTCACAAGGTGGCAGGGCATACCCAAAACCCCACAGGTTTTAGAATTATACACTTAATTACATACTGTATAAAAGCTGGGGACAGTAATAAAGAGTGTCTTACAATTCGCAGTGGTTCCTAATCTTTTGGTATTCTACTAAAAGTACATTTGTACTCTCAATTATTTTTCAATCATCTATGAAATTACCTTGCCCCCATGACTGTAATGGCATAGCCCTGGCCTGCTGCCAGAATACTAGTACTATAATGCATGTCACTCAGTGAATTTGTACCTAGTACCTACACGTACCTAGCTTCTCAGGTATTTGGCACCATCGTCAACATGACCCTAAGTAAGACCATTTATTATTGTATACACACAAGCATCCTGTACACGTTTACACTCAATGACGCACATCCTTTATGTTTTGGCTGTTTTTTTACCAAGTAAAACAAATTACACCTAGATACTGAGTTCAACATCTTGATATTTGCAAATATGATTGGCAGTTTTTGATAAACACAGTCTAAGACAACATTCTAAAAAGCCAATGTGTAATATAACAATCATTTATTAACTAAATGCTTCCTAGAATTCCTAAAATGTATATCTGGGCACATAACTACCAGGGTACAGGGGATTAGCAAGTCGTGACAGGATCCACGAACACAAGGATGTGGCTTGTAAACCAACACTACCATGACACTTTAAAAGTCCCACCAAATGTGAGGGTTGGTCATGTAAAAACAATGAGTCAGATAAGGGACAGAACATACTGGAAGCATTCTAGTTAATTCCGTGCACGGAGGTTCTGTTTTCTTTGCTAGGTTGTCCATAGTTAGTGAGGGGGGGGAATGGTATAACTGCAGATGGGAGTAACTGGAAATAGACTTCAGAGGTGATAGAAGTACATTTTGTAGTCAATATATGAACTTTGGCTGCTGACAGACATTCTAGATCATGAGGTCATGGGAAAAGGCTGCTAACAAATTCACATGACTCATGAGGTATTGTTTTTGTTGGCCTAAAAAAAATGTTCCTGCACTTATACATTTTTCCTGTGCTAATCACGTGAACCATAGAATGACTGGTGGCCAGCATTGATCCTTATCCAACTTTTATGACACCATAAAACCACCTTATCTACATTTTTTGTCAACATAAGGCCACACCAATTTAATTTCTTGGTTAACGGATTTTTCTAGAAAAATAATGGAGCGGGCGGGCGAAAAAAAAATAAAAATAAAAACAGGCCTAGGCATCCTATTATGGCCCAAAATGGTACGATAGGAGCCATGAAGTCAACACACCAGGCTGGTTCAAAATTTAAACAATGAATTTTAAACTTTTAATGAAACTACTGCATTGAAAGATGGAATGACTGTAACAAGTAGTAAGAAAATGACTGTTTTCAACTGTTCAGGGCAAAATATGGGCATTTTGCAGTTGATTCTGAATTTTTATTTTTATTTGCAAATCAGAAAAAAATGAAGCGGCGAATCCGTTAACCAAGAAATTAAATTGGTGTGGCCTAATAGAAAGGTAAAATTTGAGTTATGGTCAAAAACAATGTACTGCTATAAATAAAGTTGTATTATATCAAGGAGGGTAAAGATGATTTGGCTGTTCTACCATGTATTATGTGCTATTACATCAATAGGTCCAAAAGTGAACTGGCACATGAAAAGCACATGAAAAGCACATGATTGTCACAAGGCCATGATGACAATGTTTTCAAAATACATTGTATCAGATATCATCCTGTTCATCTTTATTCTTATCATACTCAATTCGTCCAATGATTCAGGTACTCTTGAATGCCAATCTTGAAAGGCTCCCATGTACAATGACTTAGAACTTTGGTATTACATACCTGAGTTCACACATTTTTCACACCTGTCGGAAGTGAAGGAGACAAGCTTTCTTTACTCTTGCTGATTACCATGTCAAGTAAGTCAGCGGCTCCTTTGTCGGCAACTTAAGAGACCCAAATGGGGGTAAAGCTAATATTTCAAAATTGTTTACTGGCAGTTCTTTCTTGCAAAACGTTTTTTTTATCACTTCTGACCTTTACCTCACTATTTTAAAATCATGTTACTGGTTCTATCGCTGCAGAGGCAGCAACCAAGAGAGGGCAGAACTGTAGCAAGCACAAAAGTCAATGAAAGGTATTCAAGCTTGGCTTAAACCTTTAAGGCGTTAACACATTTTGGCACAGAACCAACACAAAACTTTCAAAGGGGTGCCTTAGAAGCCAAACAATCCATCCCGCAAGATCTTGGTTTTGATTGTGCAAACAATGCCTTCCCTTCAACAGGAAAAGCACCTGGAAACCAAGAGTAAACGAGCTATACTACCGGTACCTCTTTGAAAAATGGAATTCCCCGTGCTGAGAAAGAAGAGAAAAAAGAGGAACAGAAACCATGACCTTATAAATTGAAAGCATGACTAAACAAAATACTTCCTCTTTTCAGTTTGTTCAATAACCTGGGAACAACCTTCTGCTGCATTGTTTTCTAAAATCACAAGTGTCTGGAATGTTTAAGTGGTCACATGCACACCATTTTTGAGATATACAACAGTTAATGGATGTCAGCATGTTTATGAGTTCTGTGAAGGATAGAAAGCAATGAAGCAGTGACTGTATACCTGTTTCATGGTCTTCTGCAGTCTGGGCAGCAGCTGGAGGTTCAGTATCATACTCAATTCCATTGTCCTGTGGAGACATACAATACATGCCTAAAGACAAAACAGTTGTGAAATGTATAGTGCTATGAGCTATCTCATGTTTCATACATCAGTTGATTTGGTCAACGCCACCTGTCACCTTCATTACTGGGCCATTGAAACATGGTCTTGACAACTATGCATTATGCATAAGTTTTATGCTCATTATTATCTATATATATATTATCTATACATCGTATATCTTGTTAACTATAGATATACGAACTATCCAAATATTGGAACAAATGTAGGAGAAAATGTCCTCTCAGTCACCAATGTTTAGGTGTTTTGCAATAGAGCATTTACTGGAACATACTACTGCACAGGCCAATGGCATAGTGTTTCTTTGAGCTATGTGTGAACATAAACTCATGTCATTTTTTCCTGCCAAATATTTTGAGGCTACAAGCAATGATAAATGAAAAAGATTGACAATTTTGTTGGAATGCTTGTGCATGCAACACACCTTAGTACTTGTCAAAGAGGTCAACCTCAGGTCAACGTAGGTATGTAAAACAATGGAGCTGTCTATCTGGCACAGGAATGTTTGGTGTAACCATGGTACTGTCACAGTGTAGTCAATAAGCAAAGTAGGTTACAGGTAACAGTCAAGGCAGGAACTCACCTGTAACAGTCTCTGTAGTTGGATAGGGTCTCTGTCCCTCATGTAGAACAGACAGTCTCTAGGGTGATGGGCATGGAGACCCTTCCTCGCACAGGAGGAAAATCTGGTACAGTTCTGTAAGCACATAATCATACAAAAAGTTGTAACAAAAGAATGCAATGATATAGGAAATACATGGACTGATACAAAACTAGCAGTGTTCCAAGAAAAAGAATTTCAAAACAGTGTCTAAAATGAGTATTTAATACTTTGAATGTCTTTGAAATGAAAGTTTTATAAAGTATAATGGTCACTGTTATACCATGAAGATGACATAATCAGCAATATCAATTTTGCCATCCCATTATGCATATAATTAAGTACATGCAATTCTGGATAGCCGAAATGCTATGTACCTTTATAGAAAGGCTAATACATGATTTTCAAACAGTTATTGTTGCTTAACTTAGTTCAAATATTGACCAAAGGTCAAAGCTCAAAGATCAGGTAGGCAAAGATATTCTATCAGAGTCTGTCATAAGGCTTCAGTGATCAAAAGACGAGATGTAAACACATTCATGCAACCTTTGTCAGCCATTGATCACACCTCAGAGTCAGCAATTTTTATCTACAAGTACCACGGGACTTTTGACCAAATACCAACTTGCTTCATTTGTGTTTACTTGAGATACCTACAACACTATCCAAGCACTCTTCAAAATTATGTCCCAACATTTAGGAAATGCATGACTTTAGCTATAATTCAACAACACACTCATTTGCTGTCAATAGTTTGTTTTTAACCTGGGACAGAAACATTAAGTACCTGGGTATGGGTAGCTAGGTTCCAGGTTTTCCCATTGCATTTGGTTGAGGTCATGGTTTTGAAAGCCTCATTAGTTATCAAGGCAGCACAAATTTAAAAGTCTTCATCTTCTAAGCATGTAAAACAATATCATAATACAAATGCACTTACATGTCTGAAGGTGTTGTAGCATCCGGAGCAGAACTCATGCTTGCATTGTACACATTTAAAATGCATACAGCCACCTTTGGCAAGGGCATATCGGAACTTGCAGTTCGGGCAATCTGAAATGTAATAAAATAAAGTTCAGTGGAGAAGAATTACATTTTTTACCATTGCTGTGTATTAATTTTGAACTGTTATCAAGGAGCATGATGTATTACAAATTCCATATTCAACTTGTGGTTAGGAAGAAACACACAGGTAATAAAGTTGTATTCTCTCTCTATCTCATTGACTCACTCACTGACTGACTCATCACTCACTCACTCACTAACTCATTAACTCACTCTCTGACTCACTCACTGACTGACTGACTGACTGACTCACTCACTTACTCACTCATTCATCATGCTTAGATTCTAATGACATATTCAACATTATATTGTGACATACCTCAAACAGTTTCTGAATACTAAAGAAAGGTACTGCATACCTATTCCACAGTCATTCAGTATGGCTGCCAACCCTGCAGCCTGGAACTCAGGGTCATTAAGTTCCTTCCATGCCTGGAATTCTTCACAGGTGATGTTTTCATGCTGCTCTTCCCACTGTAAAACAGGTTTATTATTAAAAATTAGCATAAGACAAGCACACTCTAAATACGTGGCAGACATACTGGGAGAAGCTATAGTTGACAAACCCAAAACATTCTGGTCGTACATAAAAGGACTGAGGAAAGACCTTGTCGGGGTAGCACCCCTAAAGGTGGGAAATACCATCATCAGTGACAGTGGGAAAAAAGCAGAAGTACTCAGTTCACAGTTCAAAAGTGTTTTTACAGAGGAAGACACCACAGATATGCCATCTCTAGGCCAGCCCTGTACTCCTCCAATGGAACATATAGTAGTTTCTACTGATGGTGTCGAAAAAATGCTTCAAGGTCTCAATCCCTCTAAAGCATCCGGACCAGACCAAATACCACCATGGTTCCTCAAGTTGACAGCTAGTGAAATCGCGCCTGTTCTAACCAATATTTTCCAACACTCGTTAAACACTGCAGAAATCCCTAAAGATTGGAGGGATGCAAATATATGCGCCATCTTTAAAAAAGGAGATAGAGCGGTCCCCAGCAACTACAGACCTGTTTCACTGACCTGCATATCCTGCAAACTACTTGAACATATTATCCATAGCCAAATCATGAAGCACCTAGAAAGTTACAGTATATTAACAGATTACCAGCATGGATTCAGAGCCAAACGATCCACAGAAACACAGCTTATACTAACAGTCCATGACATAGCTGGCGCACTAAACAGTAAACGGCAGGTAGATTTAGCAATACTTGATTTCACTAAAGCCTTTGATAAAGTCCCCCATGGCAGGCTCATCTCAAAACTGGAGTATTATGGAATCCAAGGCCCTACGCTGAATTGGTTAAAGGCTTTCCTGACCAACAGGGAGCAAACAGTAGTGGTTGAAGGGAAGGCGTCGGCTCCAGTTAAAGTAGCGTCTGGGGTCCCTCAAGGAACCGTCCTGGGGCCATTGCTCTTTCTCTTGTATATAAATGACCTACCAGATCAGCTTGACTCAAATGTGAGGTTATTTGCCGATGACTGTCTATTGTATGTAGAGCTTTCTACACAGACCGACTCACAACTTCTCCAAAAAGACCTGAACACCCTGGAAGAATGGCAAAGCAAATGGCTCATGCAGTTTAATCCCGAAAAATGCTACATTATGCACATAACAAACAAACGAACACCACATGCAACTAGCTACCAGTTTTGTGGTCAGGCTTTAGCAACCACAAAAATCCATCCGTATCTGGGCGTCACGCTGACAAGCGGACTGAAGTGGGGTGCACATGTTAATAATATCACAACTAAGGCGAAACAGACATTGGGAGTGATTAAACGTAATCTGTGGGCATGTCCAACTAGAGTAAAATCACTTGCATACACGTCACTTGTAAGACCGAACCTAGAATACGCTGCGACAGTATGGGATCCATATACAAAGAAAGACAAAGACAAATTGGAAAGGGTACAGAATCAAGCTGCAAGATTCTGTATGAACAACTATGTAAGAGGTGCTAGTGTCACGGAAATGAAAAGAAACCTACAGTGGACTTCACTGGAAGACAGAAGAAAGATGTCTAGACTATGCATGATGTACAAAATGACTAATAAACTGGTGGATGTCCCAACTACTAAGTACCTAATACCAGCCCAGAAGAGAACAAGAAATAGCCACGCATTCAAGTACCAGAGTTATCAACCAAGGATTGAGGTGTTCAAGAGTTCATTCTTTCCTAGAACTATCGCAGAGTGGAACTCACTGTCACCAAGTACAGTAGGGGCATTGTCAATAGATAGCTTTAAACAATGTCTAGAGCTAGAAGTTCAAGGGTTAGGTGTAACAAGTCGATCGGTGTAATATAGCCAGCTGCCGCCGCGCCGCGTGCCTGCGAAGCTGGTGTGTTACGCCGAAAGGCGGTTATACCGGCTATACAGATACAGATACAGATACAGAATTAATGAGGTATTAGTGGCATTTCACTAGGTTAATCTTGCTTTTCACAACAAACGACAAATGAAGTACACATGTACAATGTATAATACACTTGCTTTGAATTAATAATACTATTTTTATGTGGGCCCATGAAGATGGCAAAAATATCTAACAATACAATATTTACATATCAATACGTGATAGTCAATACAGACAAATTTAATCAAATAAAAAGCAACAAAATCCATTAGACAGAACATACCGGCTTCTTGCATTTGTAACAAGTAGACCTTCCACAGTCTGCACACAGCATCCTCAGTCTCTGCTCAGGCTGATCATTAATCATACCTGATGAACACTGCAAAGAGGAATACAAGATTTTATTTCATACAAATTATAAATAGATATTAAATCATTCAAGGATGAAATTTGGGCTGTCTCTAATATTTGTTCACATATTAAGTTGTCTATGACAACATTTGTAAAGTATATCAGTTGTCATTTTATTGTCCATTGGGCGGAAAATTAAAACAGAATCATGATAAAATTGTAAGAAAAATACTGCTGGTTCTGTGGGTATTTCTGTACTTACATTTGAACACCATCTGAAGTTAGGTAGTTTCATCAGTGTCCGGTCCCTTAGCTTTTGTTGGAAGAGTTCATGGACATCATCATCCAAAATATTCTTTAGCTGCAGAAACAAAAACATCATTTATCAATAATAATAATACATAATAAAAAATAATATTATCAATATATTAACCGACTAATCAAGTACTGAAAAATCATCAACCAGTAAAGCTCTCTCTTTGTACTCTATATTATCACTTGAGCTTGTTTTGTAGTCAACACATATCCCTTACCGACATTATCTGAAGATACTGGTCTACACTTGTGATTATCATTTGGACACCACCTTGACCAATTATTAACCACACTGAACTTAAAACTGTGTGTAAAGGACAGCATTTAGCAGATTCCAAAGATAATACAACAAGTGGAATTGCACACCCTTCCTTACCATGATATCAAGAAGGTTGAAAAACTCGGATTCTGCATCTTCATCATCGTCGAGATCAGGTTGACTACAGACAGGACAGACCATGTCCTTGATGTTCTTGTCCCTGATGGTGATGGTGAAGTACTGTTTCATACAGGACACACAGACTTCACAGCTACAGTGGGTCAGTACCAGCAGCTGGAGGAGGGGGGGGGATTGATATTGTCATTAGAAGATTGTATACAATCAACATTCATAATAGAGATGGATGACAAAGCACCAAGGTACATGTAAAATAATTTTTTCAAATGTTACAGTTGAACACCTGTAGCCTGGTTACCAAACTTACTTTGGCTCCAAAGTTTTATGCTATTTGCGGAGATGATTAAAGCTTGGTAACCAGACTACAACACATGGGCCCTACATTGCTATGAACTGCGAGACTAAAAAAAGACAGGAGTCAGTCAAGGGAGGGGTTCCTCTCTAGAAGTGATTACACCCTGAAATGATGATTACAGTAAATTTATGTCGTATATATTTTTCATGGCTTTTTTGTAAACATGATAAGCAAATTGACAGATCATTTACTCAACCACCATATCTATAACGCCAGAATGCATTCTAGTATTTCAAAATAAACACATAGAATATTGGCTCAAAGAAGACAATTGCATTAGGTTCCTTTCAGTTAATACTAGTATACAAAACATTGTGACCAGGAACTAACCTTATGTTGTGGCAGCACGTCCGTGCAGACCTGACACTCGTGCTGCAGGTACTTTTTACATGATTCTAGACCCTGACAGGACCGCACAGCCTCGATGATGTCCTCAAAGTCATACTCATCGTACTCTCCACTCTCAATCAACTTCACTGCCTGTTCAGCCCTGCCCCAAGATGGGAGGTTGAACTGACATAACAGCATTCTTACATTTCTCTGAAATAAAAGAAGAAAAACAGTGCAGTTTAGTTGATATACATGTAATCCATTTCATAACATGAGGGGGGGGTTAAAAATTCTTGCTCTTACCCCACATTTCTACACAAAAGAGCAATTAAAATAGCAACTACACAGTCAGAGAGGGAAGACTATAATGTACCTCAAAGTCCCCTGGCTTCAACTCGACTCTGTTGCGGTTTTCGTCCTCTTTCCAGATGTGCTCCTCGAACGGTCTCAGTTGTTCCAGTTGTATGGCCTGGATGGCCTTCTCTGCATCACCACAGTTCTCCTGTAGAGCCGCAAGGACCTGATCCTGCTCAAACTCCTGGAACTCCATCACATAGATGAACTGGAACACAAATAAACAGTTGGACACAAAGTTAAGCCTTTTCGTCATTATGTATTATACCAACACAGATGGAACTTTCATGCTAACAAACAGTGATGCTTTCAATGCAGATATTCAAGAAAATTTAGCCTACAGTAACATGTTAGGCTGTTTTTCTAAAGAGATGTGCACCAATTTTTTTTTTACTCAGTGTGAAATGATTATGTAATACCTTTTTCCGTCTGCAGTCGATGCACTCTTTGATGGATTTGGCAATGTCTCCTTCCTGTTTTCTCAGAGCTTCCGCTGCTTCCTGTGTGGTGATGACTCCGACTATGTTTGTCTTCAACTTCTTCGATTCCTCTGTTGCCTGTGCTGCCACACTCGACACAAGCTCCTGCCAGTTTTCCTTTAGCCAGTGTACAGGGTCGCCGTTTTCACAGTGGAGCAGAGCTGCTTGCACCTCTTCTGGGAGAAAGCCTGCATTCTCTGCTGCCTGTGACAAAAATGAAGAAAGAGAGAGAATACATTTACTATCTTATAACATACTAACCTCCTTGATACTACCAATAAGACAAAAAACTGTAAATCACTTTAAATTCATGGTAGCAAAAGTTCTGAGAAAAATGGACATGTTCACGGAACTATATGTTTGCTGTAGGATCAGAAATCGATGCAGCAAAAAGAAAGTCGGCGAATTATTTGTTCATGGCAATGATAAGTTTGTAGTGCAGAATTGACAACAAAACCCGGAAATATACATGTAACTTGTGATTTACAGTAGAATCAGCTAAGCAGAAATGCATAAAAAAATATCATACAACTGACTATCAGTATATATTGCTCGCTTTCTTTAACTTAGAGCTAGTTAGGACAAATTGACTATACTAATGAGAACGTACTCTGAACCATTTGATCATCTGTAGTCCCTCTGTCCTCATGTCTTCTTGTCTTTTCCTTTCCTGTAGTTCCCGGATGTTCATGGGTCTCCTTTCCACCTCTCCTTGCTGACCCAAAGATGACAGGTCTAATAACAGAAAATAATGACAATGAGTGAAAATAACCTGAAAAATTTAGAATGAACCTAATGGAGCATCTGTCTGAAAAGGATGGAAATAATGTCACATCGACTGTCTGTATTCTTGGTAACAACCACCCATGCTTACTTTCAAATTTTGTTTGCAAAATACAGCAATTTTGTTATGGTATCCTGTTTGTAATAACGTCAATGCAATGCCACCTCCGCCTCCTAGTTTTATAGGTTTGACAACAACAAGAAAACTGTTACCTGGCTGTCTTTCAGCCATGGGTGAGTCAGGTATGTCAGTGACCCCCTGTGCTGCAGTGTCTGGTGGTCTGGACATGAGTGGTGCAGGAGACAGGGACGCTCTCTGTCGTTCCTCATCCTCCTTCTTAGCCAGCTGCTTCTCCCTCCAAATCTACATCATGAAAAGTTGAAAATACAATTACAAAACATACCTCACACCAGTGTTCCAGCCTGCTCCAAATTATTTTCTGTCATGTCAATATTGTTTGAAGTAACATCATATCAAGGGAGAAAGGCGTTGTGGCATTGTACCAGAGGTGCCACAATCCTAAGGGGAGCCAGGGGCATGCTCCAAATGTAGATAAACACCCTTATACAACAAACTTCTTGTCAAATACATAAATATTCCTTCATCAATTTTCAAGTCAAAGTGAAGTAAACATTCACCAAAACTGCTTAAATTGCCAACAGAAGGAAAGTGGAACATCATGACAATGTGTCCACAGACGGATTCTAACCTGATCCTGGATCTCAGAGATAGTCCCACCAGGAACTCTAGATTCAGCTTTTCCAGGTAACATTGCAGGTGTATCCACTGGTGTCAAGTCACCACCCATTGTCTCTGGCCTCTTCCCAGATGGTGCACTCCTCTCCAGATTCAGTTGTGACAGAGATTCTCCCACATTTGTGATAGCCTCCCCAGTGACTGACACCTCCTGTATCTGTTCTTCTGTCCCTTTTATGAACTGTGGGTTGTCACTTGTCTTGTTGCACATAGCACAAATCCTGGTATCTCGCTCATTGATAAATGTGCATGCCTCACAGTGCCATTTCTGGGAGTACCCTTTTGACTTGCTGGGTGAAAGAGGTTTCGAAGCAGTACTCTGAGATGATACCAATGGTGGTGATGCTGGTTTGATGACTTGTGATTTGGCTGTATGAGATTCAGCATCCTGCCCCTGTTTGTGGGTTTCCTTATTACTAGCTGCAGCAGTCTGTCCAACATTGCTCTGTCCCAACCCTGCTGTAGGCTGTTCCATAGGAGGTCTCCTTATGATATCTTCTGCCTTCTGAAAGGGCACAGCATCAGCTCTGTAGGGTCTTTGCTCAGATGTTTGACTTGCTGCCAATGGTGCTGGGACTTTGGGACTCTGTGAAGGCTTCCATTCCATAGAAGGGGGTGGCTTCAGCACTTCTGGTAAGCCAAGCTCCCTCATGGATGGTCTTGGCTCAGGTAAGAACCTGGAGTCGTGCTGCATCAGTCTGCTGTCAATCAAAGGCAGCTTGGCATTGCAGACCCCACAGGTGATGTTGACAATCGGATTGGAGTGTCTACAGCGAGTGCAAGTGATTTCAGAGAAAGACATCTGTGGCCTGGATGGGGCTTCAAACTCTTGTGGTGGATGTCTGTACTGTAGCGTGTATGGTTGTCTTATGGGAGCCTGCTGTTGTCCCCACATTGCTGCCATGTTCTGAGGGCCTGCAAAGTTCTGCCACTGTTGCTGTTGGGGGTGAGGATGTTGACCTTGAGGCTGGACAAATTGACCTTGACCTTGAGCAAAGTTAACAGCCTGATATGTTCCTTGAGGCAAGGCAGGTCCTGCATGCTGTGTATCAGTTCTCTGGGACTGACCCATGTATGCTTGCTGTTGTTGACCCATGTATGCTTGTTGCTGTTGCTGTTGTTGTTGCTGCCTCTCCATTCTCCTTTCTGTACCAGTGAGTTGTCTCAGGGCTTCCTCAACCATCGCTTTTTGCTTCAGCAGATTTTGCCTCTTCTTCTCTAACTCCACAAACTCGGGAGTCGCCTCTGAGAACTTGCTCTGCCTCTCGTTTATTTCTTCGATCTCAACTCTGTACTTCGCAATCTCGATCTCAAACTTCATCACCCTTCTACTGAGATCTGGTATCTGAGGGCCTGCATGGGCTTGTGGTGCTGCTGCAGGTGTGATAGCCACTGTCCTAGCAGGCTGTGGACTCAAAGACTGACTAGGTTTAACACCAGATGCCACATCCAAGGGCTGTCCACCAAGGGATACGCCTGACAGTACATTAGGAGTGACTGTAGCCACCTTGTCAGGGGATATCTGTGATGGACTCGTCCGTAATGGCAGGGACCGGTGCTGATTTACAGGTACTTGTGACTCCTGTTCGCCTGGTGGTTCATGCATTTTGTCAATGGGTACTCGGACATGGGACCTTCTAGTCTTGTGCTTGTGGAGTTGTGAGTCACATGTGAGACAATGGGCTGCTTCACAATTTCTACACCACTGGATGGCTGGCTCCTCACATACTTCACAGTTCTTGACTTCAGATGTTGTAACAGGTGCTATAACTGATCAATATAATATACATGTAGCTGGTAACATCGGCATTTTTGATCGACTCCATGGTGAGCTATGGATCTATATATGACTGTATCACTACAGATGCACATTAAATATTCCAGGCTTATCTCCAATCTTACTACATAGTCATTATTTTCACTGTCATGCATGTATGCATGCAATGGTATTAAAGTTTAGTTGGAACTTGCAAGTAACTTTGATAACATTGAATGCAAAAGTTGCAACTACATTTGACATTCTGGACTTTGTCTTTTGAAATTTTGCTCACCAGTTACTGCTGTATTAGCAGTATTACAGTATGGTAACCATCATGTGACAATGATTGATACATATATCAAATGAACTTTGATGCCAAAGGTCAATGGACTTTGTTCAGAACAATCAAACACAAACATCTGGTATATATTGAAAATAGACTCCTTCCTCAGCTGACATATTTCACATGCACTTCTCTATTTCAACAAAAATATCTTATAGCCACATTTTAAAAAACAGAAATGACTGCAGCTACTAAAATAAAAGGGTTAATATTTGTGTATGCCTGCACTGTAAATTTATCCAGATAAAGTACTGGAAACAGGAATGGGAACATGGATAGTCATTGCTATCAAAACTTACTTTGTTGATGTTCAAGAGCAGGTGGTTGCACAAAGTCTTTAGCTACATGTCCAAGTTCTTTAGGAGACTCAGGAACTGCTCCAACAGACTCTGAACCCTGTTAAGTATATGAATGCACAACGATGCCCATCATCTGTATTGGCATATGTAGCCCATGTTATTTTTTAGATGCCTGGACCAAAAATGTACTAGGGAGAAATCTTCATCATTAAAGCATGGGAGACAACGGTATTATCAAAGCATTGCTAAGTGATATACCTGAGTTTTTGACATAAAAATATTGCTAGCAACATCCAGAACATTTGAAAATATCGCTTTGAGTAAACAATCATATATTTATCCCAGGAATCTATTTTGCCCAGGCCTAGAACTGGGAAAAGGAACACACATGATATCATAGCCAAAATATCAGTTCTGCAAAACTTTAACTTCCTAAAAGCTTGACTGTTCCGTCTAGATGTTTATCAACAAAAAAGGATTATTGTTACTAATCACTAAAGGTGTTTGTAACTTTGTTTAAAAATTGAGACAAAATGCCAACATGTAGCATACTACTAGCCCTGTATTTAAAACCATTTCTGAACCTTTGAAAACTGCAGTTGTCAAAATAGCAGCTGTTGAATGACCTTGACTTTAGACAAAGAAAATACAGTTTGAACATCTGGCAAGGCTACATGTAACAACAAAATGGATTACTAACAATGAATGAATTAATGAATAGAGGTATACAACACCTGTTGTCCAGAGTAAGCTAGGCTGGCCTGCTCTCTCTGCCTTTGGTAGTACTGGTCTTTAGCAAGTTGTTCAGCTTGTTGGAACATTTCCATAGGAATATGTATGTACATTGTTTCAGGTTGGGGATGCGTGCCGCATATTATCATCTCTAATTCAAGCCGTGCCTGGATCAGGTCTGCAGCAACGCCAACAACCATGTCAATATCTGGTTCTTTCTTATCCTCTGGGAAGGCAAGGCCGTCTGGAGCAACTACGGTATAGCCAAGTTTATGAAGAACCTTTCTTGACCCCTGAAAAAAAAGATTAGACATGTATAAGCAATTCTGAACACCTCTCAAATGTTTCTTTCTTACTTAACTTTGCTAGAGCTGCTCTTCAAATCTACATCATTGCAATATAAATCCTGACCTCATTTGTTACTCTTTTACCTTCAAGGTAAATAGAAACTATTTGTTACAATTCAAGCATATGCAGTTAATATACAGTTTTTGTGAATGTGCCTTGGACATGAATGCATATAGATGAAAGGAATGTAACATCAGGCAGCTATTGTCAGTGGAAATTTTCTAGACACTCTTTCATGGGGTCAGGTTTGCATGATCTAATTCTCAAAGTGAAACCATGCTCTGTTTCCTTTCAATCTACGAAAGCAATAGTAAGTACACAATCTATCTTTCATGGAATTAGGTCATGGTTGTGAAACTGTGATAGAGAAACAACATTGTACCCTGGAAACATAAAACTCACTTGAATTACGTCTACTTTTGTCTTGAAGATCCCATTGGAAAACTTGACAACCGTCCAAAAAGCTGGTCGCACAGGTTTCAGCAGATTTCGAGCATATTTTTCTAGAATGGTAACTGCTGCAAGAAGGTCCAGGATTTTCTGTGGATTCTGAAACAAGACATCCGGGAAAATTAGTCACAAAATCTTGGTATCCAATGGAGGAGTTAACACTATGGTATGGTAAAATGACTGCAAATGTTCCATACATTATAATTTATAGACAGTGTATTACAGTTGCAAAGCCAAAAAATAATAATAATGGGCTGAAAATAACATCGGTAACATTTTAAAATATCATATTTGACTTGAAACATTACAATGGTAACACCATTCCAGCTAGTTTTATACTTACACTTGAAAAAAACTAGCTCTTTTGAAAAATACACTAATTGGCCAAATGAACTTGCAACTGTTTCCGTACATTATGCAAAAATGAAACCATTACATCAGTGCATTATGCTCTAAGATTACGTACGTCATGCAAGTCATTAGAAACCGAAACCACTACAGCTGGGAAACTCTTTCCGGGGAGGGGGTTTCCATCGGTATTGATTGGGAATGCCAATTTATAGTTGTTGCACTTTCACTTCTCAGCAGTTTACCAACAGTAATGACTGCGAGTGCTACTGAAGGTGTCTGACATTCTGGAGCTGTGAAATTTTTCCATTCATTCATTGTGACTGGGGTACTTGAGTTGAGAGGTCTACATGGATCAAACTGTTTTGATACATAAATGAATAATGTATATCCAATTTTGCAATATTCATATAATATTGAGGCCTAATTTGTCTGGGCCAACATTGTAAAGTCAAACTTGTAGCTTAACAATCACAAACAAAGCAAATACATGATTCATGACAGAACTAATGTACTTACCTGTCTACAATTATCAAGTAGCAACCTGTCAAAGTCCACATGTTTATACCTCTCCGCCAAAGTTGCGCTGCAATTTATAATTATCACCACAAAGCTATGAAACATAACTATGGACAGCGTCCCGACTTGTTGGTACACGGATTTAAGCTCATTTTCGAATGACGTTCGTGCACTTTGTCGTTCTTGTTGCTTTGTTTGGTGGTGTGCATGATCCGGACTTGCTAGTTGTGCAGAGTTTCCACTCTGTGATGTGTTGACGACATTGTTCGACGGTGCCCCTGTTCCATCCATTGCTTGTCTTGCTTGTACGTTACCATCCAACGCCATTTCTTCATTATTATCTTCTATCTGACAGCTGGATGTTTCTCTCACAATAGGTCTACTATCTGGCATATCATTGATAATTCTTAATTCATTTTGGTTGGACACTGAATAATCTCTTATTTGAGACAATCTCTCTGTTTCAGTAGGGTCAGCCATGGCAGATAATGAATTTTGTATCCTTCTTCAGGCAAAGAAGTAGAATATTCAGTCTGTCCTCTTGTTACTTTTGCACTAGTAGCAGTGAAAAAGGTATCAGAATATTTACTCTAAACAATTACTTGTAAGATAATACTAGTGAAATAAGTGTAAACAGCACATGTTACTACTCTCATGTAGAGAAAATATTGAATATAACATAAAAGCAAAATATGAGCAACTGATTCCAATATTAAATTCTAAACATCACTAAAGCCTATCTTATAAGTTCTTTCCTATTAATGCAAACTGTTAGCTACTCAAAAAACCTGCCACAATTAACTTTTTCCCCTTGTTGCAAGCCAAATTAAAATGCAATACTGGATAGTTTACTCTCTATACTCGTTACTTTAAAAGATGAAATTAATGTGATCTTAAAAGTAACCAATACAACTCAGAAAGGGTAAATAGCCATGAAAATGTATCATCACCAAAAACATTTATCACATCTGTTGTAGTCTTATGGTCTGTGGGGACAGGTGAATATTCTAATGCAATGCCATTCACTGATGATTCAGAGTTTAAAAAAAAAAAACAATCTGGCGAGAGCCAATTTTTGCCAGATTCCACCCAAACTCTAGCTGGCCACTTCAAGCTGTCACCAATAGATTCGGCAATCTGTCGTTGTCTCCTCTTCTGTTGACGATTTGCAATCAGCAAACTTCCTCCTTCTCTTCTGAAATTATCTGACAACTGGAAGGTAGACAAAGTATGCAATATCCAATTAGTAATTAATCCCTGGAATGCAAATATGGGGATAACGTTTTGCATATATGTTCAAGTAATAATGCAAAATAAGGACAGACTAATGACTTCAGACGTTGTAACAGGTGCTAATGATGTACATGTACAATAAGGACCTAAATTGCATAATTAATGCAAACATAACAATTCCTTCATGGGAACTTTATACTTGTGGCATACGGAAGTTTAAGTTAACTTAAAGATTAACATCACAATGTATAAATGACATGAATGTGCATTTGAATAATTAATTGTGATATGTATGACTTTGTTATTGCCTACATCTTTGATGCTACACATCTCTTAAGCTTGTTAGTTGCTCAGAATTGCTTGGCAACAGCTGTGAATATTTGCACAGACTTTCTCAAAAAGGCTTATCATAAGAACATGTCAATAAATGGGCTAGCACACAAGTTTTTGTAACCAGAAATTCGGTGAGATATGATGCCCTTGTTTAGCCTGTTTTTTTTCATGTTTCAATGCAGAGGACCGACTGTCATGTCTCTCTTACTAACACATAACATTATGTTAATGTGACTTCACCCCCCTCCTCCAAGCACGTCAGTGCAACATACTGCACCTGCGCAAAACATGTATTGTGCATAGCACTTCGGCAGAACGTCTCATATAAGGTTGTATTCACATATATAAGGTTAACATCCCGTCTGCAGTTTCCAAAAGTTATGTAGGAAAAGATTTCGTCCACAACAGGCAAACTTTAGATGCAACGTTGACCAAAAATCCAACAAAAACCCGTCAAATACCAGGGTTTCACGCAGGAGCAGTAAGTTCTACAATGTGCTCTCCTTCCATAGCAGATCACCTTACCAGTGTAACATGACTGAATCTCTATGCAGGTGTTTTTAAGGTCAAGAGTTGGAACAATACTTCTTTCATTCAGAACTACAATGGTAGTAGGATTGAATTTCGCTTCTTGGTCCTGATAAACAAGGAGACCTTCAAGGCTTCAAAAATTTAACGGCTTCAACGCAAATAAGCACATTCACATGTCAGTGTATGAACAGACTATCTATGATTGGATGAAAGTTACGAAAGATTGAATTCTATTGGTCAGTGGATTATAATTTGCATGTAACCTGGTGGCGTCCATAGTTACCTTGTGGTAGCGGGGCACTCAAAAGTCACAAGGTCATAGTTTATGAGATGGCAACAAAAGTTGCGACATTTAGTAATTAGTAAGAGCAACTTCACTGCCCCAACCAAGACGGTTCAATGCTAACATTACCCTTATTTGCACAACATTATTTGTTCCTTTGTTAAAAAAACTTGATTCTTAGGAATAAATTAACTGCTTTAAACTTGTAGATAACTCAATTTAGTCAGTTGTGTATGCGTATTTGTATAGCCTGTGTAACCGTCATTCGGTCGGTAACGTGGTGTTTAGTCTTAGGCAAGAAAATATGTGTTCTAAGACCACTGACGTGGAACTCAAGCCCCAGGTGTATACTTGTGACGTCATTGGACTAAATATGTTGTTATATAAGTACATAGGAGGTCTCTCATGGCCAGTAACCTATCAAATGCAACCTGAAGACAAATTACGTTCTATTGATTAAAGCCTCAAATCATACTATCGATTATTTGTCAATATACGATCAAAGTCCACCAAGTAACCCTCCCACACGACCCAAACACTTTAACGTTACCTCCCGGCTATTTGACGGTATTAAACTGCACTAAAGGCTGATATACAACTAGTCTTCTGGCAGCTCATAGTTCTTGACTTTGACAAGCAATACTAACCAATAACTTCTTCCCGAATTCGTTGAACCAAGTCCTTGGTTGAATTGTGTTATCCTGTTGCTAGTGACGTTCACTGTGAGCTGCGTACCTTACTCAACTCGCTGGCGCCCTTTGATCTACTCCACGCATGCGCATGGTCTTTGTGCCCGGCGGAGAGTTAACCGACTGGGGGAATACCCAGCCTCATACCTATTAAAGAGAGGGTGTAAACCTCCTTGCTCAAAGCTATTTTTTTCTTAAATTTCTTACAGTTTCAAACTGATCAAACATTTGACATAACGTTACATGCAGTTTTCTTTCTAGACCACATCTTGGACAAATCGTGACAACTCTAGATTTTCACCCCGTCGGACGTCCTGTTTTGACTCACAGTCACAGCCACATATTATCTGTCACAGTGGTTTCTACTCTAGGTCGGATTTGCGTTAATATCTTTTAAAATATAGCAGTCCATATATAATCCCAAAAGTTCCACAGCTTTTGTTGTGTGCTGTATAAACTGACATTCAACCACCCTCAATCGTCATTTAACTTTTTAAATACACTATATATGTACGGTCAAGACTTACTGATAGGCAAAAGCTTCAGGAAGTGAAAGCCATCATGTGCTATGTGGTACCAAATACATTGTGAAAACTGTTTTGTCTGGGGAAGCACTTTCTGCTACACCCATGTTCTTATCATATATAATTACCATGATACACTTAGCAAAACACATATTCAACAAACCTGAACGCTAGTAATAGCGAGGCAAACCGTGTGATCTACCAGCTGGTACCCGAGCAGCGGAAGCGAGAATGGAACTACCACGCCCGTTGACCTCAATGTGCCATTACGTCATCCATTCGGTGGAAAACCCCGGCCCTGGCAGTCACGCTATAAAAAGCGTAATTAGCATTAAAGCCATCTGTACCTTCAATGATACTTTCGCCCAACACTGGTAAAATTTTGAGTGCTCATTTAGACATCGGTAGGTTTCGTTGAAGAACATTTTAGGCTATCAGCGCCACGCTGCGACCGCTTGTGAAAATGACTTTTAATTTAGCACAGCCAAAAGCCCAAATCCTTAAATCAGACGGTCTTGTCTTGCAAAACTCGTTTATGCTAAAGGTCACATTTGCAAACCGCAGCCTGGCCGGGCTGTTTCGATTAACGAAAAATGAACAATTTGTATCAATAATATACGCATTAAATAGTTCCCATTATTATTTTTTCAACTTTTTTTGTAGCCTGGTTACCAAACCTATTATAGCTCCCGAGTCCTACATCCTCTCCGCAAATCTCGGTCTCGGGAGCTAATAGGTTTGGTAACCAGGCTACTTTTTTGTCTTTTATATCATACTACTTTTCGTTCTATAAGGCTGCCGGCCGGGCCCCGGTTTGGAAATGTGACCTTTAGATATAGCATTACGTCTGCAAGATCAGTACCAAACTCGCCGATATACTAGGAGAGAGAGATACCGGCATATAATTACATTTCATTGCGCAACAATGCCGTGATGAAGTACCTTGTCTTTTTTATTAGTATTGTTCAACAATATGTGTAACAATACCGAAAAATGTGTACAGTTGGGTGCCAGAGCTTATCAAGATATATCTGGGATACATGTATTTTAAGATGAATAATCAAAGGCCGTTTACGTCCCACCTGTATACTAGTACATCTGACATGTCAGGTATGGGATATGGAATGTAATGAAATAAAAACATGAATAGCAGCAACAGGCACAGCGATTAATGATGATTGCAGAGGCATTGGTTACATTTGCCATATTTTGCTATGCGTGATATATGTCTCACATGACCATTTGATATTGGATACATAACTTACCCAGGGGTTGGAATCGGATGTTTTTTCTTGTGTGACATGTTATGAATCTACACCTTTTCATCGTCTTTGTTTATATGGAGAATAGAGAGCTGAAAGAAGGTCACATACACTTGAAAACTTTCTCTGGATCTCATAGAAACTTAATTGCAATGTTTCAAGCCGATGATGTTGAGAGGAAACTTTGCAGTAACAGCAAAGGAAGAACATACATGTAAGACATAGCACAATAAAATATGACAAAATACATGTATACCATTTCTATGATTCCTAAAGTTTGGTATCAATTTTGAACAAATGTGGTTTTACTTTTTCTCCAATTACTTATTTATAATTATATGATTCACAAACAAGAAAATGCTGTGGATGTTTTTTCTGCATATCACTGAAATCATAAAAAAATTCAATTTGGTGCTTAAGATAGTTTTAACGGAGAAGTAGAATTCCTACTGATGAGGCACATCTGGCTACTGTACTGGACATGTCTTCTACATTGGTAAAACATCTACAACATTTCTAGCCTTCTCTTACCAAATAAGTACAAGTTTCCTGATAGGACCACCGGTTATGCTAACCAGTTACAAGGTACAAAAATCTTCAGCTCTGCTACACAACAGGGCTGTAATCCCATTAAATCAATGTTACTAGTACTTGATAACTTCATATGATTATCTTATCTGAGAACTGATGTCCAGTTTTGCAGGTACTCTCAACAACTACAATCAGCCACTGCAGATGATAACATTAAAGCACTTACATGTAGGTTGAGATTCAATACATGCTCTGAACAGAATGAGGCACATTGTGTTAGATTGTAAGGCACAAGGACTGTAAAGCAGCACTCTGTGGTTCCCTAATACAACTGTCTCTACAACAGCATTATTTACACACTGACATGTGCATTCTGACAATTACACAGTTTATCTGAGAACCAACATAAAACTGGCATATGCATAATTTCCGTATGTTATGCATCTTACAAGGTACCTATCAACAATTTCATGTTTTTATCTATAATTTTAAGTTCAATGTTTGGTAGCGAGAACTGTTAGCTGGACGGAGTGATGGTGAGAAGATAATTATATTGTACAGTTTAAAATTCACAACATGTTCCCAAATACCTTCAATGGCTGGCAAATCACCCCCACACCTTTACAATACATATGACATGAATTTTCTATTTCTTTCTCAAGACATTTTGCTGCTTTCCACTTCTTCCAGAATTCTTGCAAAATGTTTCTTGCTACAGCAATGATGACAAGTTATATTCTTTTCACCAGAGAAAATGAGAGCAATAACAAAAATGTATTTCAATATCATATACATTGTACATGCATATCTTTACTGATTATCAAAACAGATGTAATAAAAAACAGATAAAAAAGCAAAAAAAAGTTCATGATGGCCTTCTATTTCTGGTGTAAAATAACAAGGGGAAATACTCATTTTGAATACAGGCCACATAAGTTTTTTAGTCCTTCTATGTACATGAAATATGCACATAGAAAGCAAAAACAATTGTATGGTCAATAATGCTGAAGTCGCTGACCATAGTCAAATGAACTATGACGTTATCCAAGTAAAATCAGTTATTAATAATCCTTCTTGTGTAACACATTAAGGGAATGTTAAAATGGGTTACCAGTAGTTAGTTATTAGTAGAGGCAAGGAGGAAAGTGAACATCACTTGTATTGCCATCATCTTAAAATCTTCATATTCATTCTGACATTTCAGAAATACATGTACTGGTTTACACCAGTAATTGTCAGAAATCTGCTTCAACCATCTGCCCAAATATGGCAATTATGTACAATCAATGACTTGGTCCACTCAGCACATTGGCAGAATGTACTGCGCCTGCAAGAAATCCCCATATTTTGTGGTTTTCGTTGGATGTTTGGTAAACTTTGCATCAGAATTTTGCCTGTTGCAGAAGACATCTTTTCTGACATAACGTTTGGAAACTACAGACGGGATCTTAACCTTATATACGCGAATTTGACCATATACGAGAAGTTCTGCCAAAATGCTATGCACAATACATTACGAGTTTTGCGCAGGTGCAATACGTTCTGCTGACGTGATGGTCCTCTCAAAACTGAACAACCTCAATACTAGAGGAAAATCTACATCTGATCTAGTCAGCAGTTCCTCCGTCATGCCTGGCCAATCTTGGCTTGTTCTTCTAGGAACAGGAGTTGGTCCACGATGAAACAGTCGCTGGGATTGGTCACGTACTTTCGCAGTCCGTTCATCAGGTCCACCTCATCTATTGTCTCGTTATTGCCACCGAAGCGGGTGTCCTTCAGGTACCTGTAGTAAGCACAGTGTTACAGGGAGGCATGTAGGCTACACAATAGGTAACAGTGCAGCAGAAAACTCTACAGACTTTGACTCCACAAAAAAGGCTTCTTTATCTAAAGATCTATGCCATTAAATGTTCACGAATTTGTTATCATGGTACAAAATGTATCAATCTACCTAGTACATGTATTAGGACTGCTAAATGACAATCGTATGTCTGTGCTTTTCTGTGATGATATCAAAAGAAATGGTGATCTTACCTGTACACCTTTTTGAATGTGTCTTTTCCTAGAGCTTTCTCACATTGCCTGAAGGAACTGTTAAGGATTATGAAGAGTTACATTCTACATTATCAATTATGAAGAGTTACATTCACCTAATTAACATAAAAACTGTCAAGCTGATGAAAAGGTTAAGTATTTTTTCACCGAAAATTCACTAAACAGCTGGATATATTCCAATCATCAATGACTATTACATGAAACAAAAACCACCCTGAACAGACTATGTACCTGCTGTGAGCACTGGAATGACCTTCATATTGCTTGAATGATATGACAAATGTTTCGAGCTGGTGACAAATTTTTCTAGTCATCCTTCTCATAGTTTGTTATGGACACAGCACGTTCTTGAAAGGGAAGCAAACAGCCATGATATTTACGACAGAGAGGATACGTTCTCATGTTCCTGATCTTAGTGTCCCGGACAGCTGGTCCAAAGGCATCTGATACTGTGTCATCAGACACTGTGGTGTTGTCTGGAAAACAGGGAAATATAAGCACTATATTACTTCAACAGACAAATTTTGAACATTTTCGACTAAGATACAATGGATTCTGCTTCAAAATAATCTCCACAGATAGCTCTGCTAAAACAAAACAATCTCAACTCTTAAACACCATATATGTTTCCAAGGAAAACAAAATGTAGTACAAGGTTTGTCTGTATATATTTGCATTGGAAGATAGAACCTACTAACCTGCAGCAGTAAGATCCAAGGCACTCTGCATATAATTGGCCAAAGCACCAAAGTCATCCTGGTAAAGAAACAACACAGCAACGATTATTATAAAATGTACTAAAATGCTGACAACCTGAACAGACTGCAATGAAAAAGTAGAAATACTTCTTCAGAAAAATAATCATCTGAATTCAGAAGGCCAGAGGACAGGCCTATAATTCTTGATTCTTAACATGCTACAGGTGGCCCCACACACCACCCTTCTCCCTCATCCTTACCTCTCCCTCTAACTCCCCATCACTCCCATAGGACAGGTCCTCCTCCACAGAACTTCCTGAAGACTCAAAGTCCTCATGCAGAGTGTAGAAGGTCTCTGCCATCTGTGGATCCTCTGGGATATCTGAAGATATGTTTTAGAATGGGTGAGTAGATGCAGTACAAAAGTGCCCCCTAGAGATCCATTTACAAACTGCAGCCAATACACTTGATCGCTGTTGAAGGGGTATCAAAACTTGTAATGAAAGACTGGTGTATAATAGTATGATACTTATTTATATAAGACCTGAAGTAGCATATCATTACATGCAAATGTTGTAAAGCATTAGAGGACCAACTTGCAGTAAGAAAAACTTAATATAACTCACCATCATCTGCAATCTCAAACATGTCCCTCCTTGGACTGTCCGTGGCACCACTGGAACTTGTACCTGAATCTGAGCTTGACCTCAGCTTGTCGTCTCCTGAATCTGAACGTGACCTCAACTTGCTCTTTTTATTTTTTTCTGCAGCAGATTTCTCCTCCAGCTGACCTGTCGAACTGGACCTCAACCGCGGTCCGTCATCCGAATACGACCTTTGGTACGGCTGCTTGGCCTCAACGCCTTTCTTAGCTAACGTAGGGATGGGCTGCTCATCAAAGTCTCTGTAGGAAGGTTCGAATGACGTGATTGGTCGGGGAGTTTCCTCTGCGGTGAGGTACAGGGACTCGTTCTGTAGGGGCTGTTCTCTGGTGTGTTCATGAAGGACACCCAGGTCGGGAATGTTGTACAGGTTCTGTTGGTGAAGGACTGAGCCCCAGGCTGTCTGACTCTGAGGTGGGGGACCGGCCTGTGGGGTGGATACAAGGATGTTCTGTCAAGGTATTTGCTGGTTTAATAAGCTAAGAATATATCCATTACTCAATATCAAAATGTGCATTACTTACTGAGAAGAACTGAAAGTGTTTTGCATTTGTTTTATGTTTTGCCTTTGTTCTACATTAAAATATGTGCCAAGTACTTACCTTGGTTACATCTATACTGCTGCGGAAGTGTGAATGTCTGGTCTCCGACTGTCGACGCTGGTTTTCATTGTACTGCACAAAGGCTGCCACCCTGGGTTTCACAGAAAAATGCATTAGTCAAAGAGGAGACCTCTACCTTTCTTCCTTTTATCCTTTCACTATCACATCTGAAGGTTTAAAAGCATCAGTTAATTTTCTTCCTATTTTCCTCTATCCCAATCACCCTGTGCCACCCCACCCCTCCCCAGTGCCTGTACTAACTTGAGTCTCCTGGCCTCCTCCTCTGCCTTCTGCTGTTTCCTGATCCTCATCCTCTCCCGTGGAGTCAGGTGTGCCTCCTGTTCTCTCCTCATGTCACCCAGCTTGTGTTTCTCTGACCTGCAGGTGCAAGCACAACACAAGTATTACATAATCATCAAACTTGTTTTCTTTATATTTTACTGTTTTAACTACATGTGTATGGGAAAATATAAACTTCCAACTTATATTTGAACGAAAGCTTGTCTTTGTTGGTAGAAACCATTGTTATAAAGTTTGAGCTTAGTTCCAGCACAAAAAAATTATGTTGAGTTCCTTTCTGTGTTGGAACTATAAGCTCAAACTTTATAACTAAACTTCTGACTTCATTTCTTGCCAGTGTAGCTAAGTCTAAGAACATGTCATCGGTCTTTGACATGTTTTACAGTGCGACTTCATTGCTGTGTGTTCTGTTACTTACAGTGCCTTTTTGATATCCTGTGCTTCAGCCTGGGCATCCACTTTATTCACAGACACAGTGATCTTCATGTCAGCCATTTTAATCTTAAGAACCTGTAACAAACAAACAAATAAGATGTAAAGATGAGAAACTTGAGCATAAATGCAACTATTTCATAACCTACAATTACCCAACAGTGCAGAAAAGGCCCTTTTGTACCCTTATTCCATAAAACACAGCATAATTGAGTTCTAATTTCAGTTGCTAGTTACAGTTCTTAGATGCACCTAGAAGATGTTTCAATGAAAAGTAACACAGCTTCCAAATTTCTGTATAGAGATGTTTCTCACCTCTATTTTCTTGGCAATGTAAGGTGTGGTCAGCAGGTCAGCAGCAGAAGGGCGTTTGGCGGGATCCTTAGTCAGGATTCTGGGAACACAACATACATGTACACGTCAACTTAGCCCTACTAAAACATCATCTCATCAACTATTTTATGGAGGACTTGAATCACATTGTGCTTTTTTTGTAGAGCAGTATTTCAATGGGATTTGGCAACACGGAATCATGGCTGCTGTGGAACAAAACAGAAACCTATGGAGGAGTACTGTTAAGTCTGCAAGTTGACCGATGCAACTAGTTAAAGGAGGAACTAAGGTCTAAGGTAAGTATTTTAATGGTAATTCAGAATAGTGACCTACAACGTGTTTGGGATCAAGGTAATAAAGAACAAAAAGTACCAGTATCAGTTTCAAGAAAGCACTGTATAGCAGGGAAACTCGGTGTTTATATGACTCAGACAAGTGCATTGTTTTACATGAATGTTAAATTGGTTCTTACCTGGCTAGTATTTCATTGAGTTCCTTGGGGTAAGTGTCTGGAAGTGATGGTGTCTTCCCCTCCACAATCTTGTACATTACTCCCATCAGACTCTGGCCTTCAAATGCATGCTTCATGCAGCACAGCTCATACAGGATACAGCCTATGGACCTACAGTGTCGAGAGGACAAACGGAAAGTGCAGTTAGCTACCAATCTACTAGGTGGCGTTTATAAACGTACTAGTAATACATTGGCAGTGATTTGTATGCAAAAAGCCAGTTCCTTGATACCTATCCTGAGATAAGGTATGTCTGGTGTGTTTTAGCATGTTCTACCTACATTGTTGTACATACCAGTACCAGTGCAGTATTGGCACCAACAGAAAAGTATCAACAACTCGTGGAAGAGTCTGTATCTCACCAGATGTCAGATTTGGAGTTGTACCCCTCGTGTTTCAGCACCTCTGGGCTCATGTAGTAGGGAGTACCAGTGAAGGTGGTGGCCATGTCTGATGTCCCCATCAGGATACGAGAGATCCCAAAGTCTCCAACTTTTAACACATTGTTCTTCATGAAGATATTTCTGTACGGATTGAAATAAAACGTTAACAGTAACAATTATAACTTAGTTACTGCCCTGGTCACTAGGTTGATATTACAAAATCTAGATTCTTAAAAGTTAAACCCAGGAATGAAGTACAGTAAGTTGCTTCACAGATGAAAACTCAGGTTTCTTGTAGATTGATACAGGATCCTTATCCAGGGCTCTAGCCAGCTCAATTTCAAGCCTTTAAAAACATAATTTCCAACATTTTGAGAGGCAAATCATGGGGTTGAGAGTGGTTGTTGTCAGTCTTTTGGATGTTTTATATCTTTACTCATGATTTTTGTCAATTTTGTCTGTCAAGGTTAATGGATTGTTTTAAAAATTAAAAGTTCCTGCAATTGATGGAAAAATAGGTGCTGATGTAGAATCAGTAGAAAGTATAGTTGATCCCCACCTTGCCTTGAGGTCCCTGTGCAGCACCTTGCGCTGGTGCATGTGTTGTACAGCCAGCAGCAGCTGTATGAACCACTCCATCACCTGTTCAGGTGCAGGAGTCGTCTTCTGCTTACGGTACTCTGAGAACACGTTGTCCAAGTCTCCTCCCTAGGATAAAGCACCAACAAAGATTAGGCTGCTGCAACCACACCAACATCAAGTAAAAGAAAAAAGCTTGTATGTGACTGTGTGCAGAACTAAAACTACGTAGCCAGCGTTGATTAGGTTAGTAGCCCAAGGACATGCTTCACGGGAAAATTTTGAAATTGAAATCTTGACCATCTGAAACACTATTTCCTGCATGTTGTGGGACAAATTTTGCTACTAGGCTTAGCTAACAAATGTATAATTAGTTCAATGAAATCTCTTGCCATATCTTTACACACCAATTTTCGTTCATCAAACTTTCAAAGTGCAAAATTTTTGCCTGTCTAAAGAAGCAGCAAAATTCCTTTAAAATGATGAAAAGACAGATGCTGGCTAAAAAAAACTGCTGTCTTCTAACCTCACAGAACTCTGTGACGATGCAGAAGTTTTCCTTCTCCAGAAAGCTGTCGTGGAACTTGACGATGCCGGGATGGTCCAGTTTGGAGAGGAGCTTGGCTTCATGCATGGCACCGACTGTCTCATCAGGGGCCAGGTCTCCCACTGAGATCTCCTTCAGTACTTTCCTGAAGATGGGAAAAATTTGTCTGTTTAGTTTGTGCACACTACATGTAGTAAGTATGACAGAGGGATACAACAGACACAAGGCCCGAAATACTTTTTCTGCATACCTGCACCAGTACAGGTAACATTGAAAATTTAACCTGCACCAGGCAAATTTTACCTGTACCACTCAGACATTAAGAAATGTGGATCATACTGAAAACTGTTCAAAAACTGTTACTATTATTTCTCTCATACATAATAACCCCATACATGTAGGTGGTAACATTCAATGCAGCAAAAATCCACATACACCTACCAACATGTATACATAACCCCAGTACATGGACCGGTGCAGGTTGGATGCAGGTAGACATCAGCAATACCTGCATAGCCTCAATTTTACCAGTAACCTACACTAAGGTGCACCCAGTATTTCGAGCCCTGTACCTGTTTGTTGAAACTACCAGTCCATTTCAACACTTGTGTACATATAACGTTACATATAAACTTTGTTTGTAATCTGAGATTTTAATTTGTTGTCTGTGACATCCTTCTAACAAGTGATGCAAGAAGGACATTACATTGACAAAGTACTGCAGAACTAACCCTTTGTCGCAACATGCACGGTCATGAAAAATTCATGATTCTCGTAAGTCAGCTGGGATCTTTTCAACGGAAGTTACTACGGTAACTCGGATCTCTGAGATTGCTATTGATAATTGAAATAAAAATAAACTTTGTCTTGTACAGTGTACTAGAAAGACAGCGTAAAAGAATACTTTTGGAAAAGGTTTGCTTGGAAACAAGGTTTTGCTTATACATGAATTGTATTATTATAGGACACTGTTGTACATGTACATGTACATGTACATTGTATATCTCAGTATTACTAAGCAATCTTCAATATAATATTTTGACTCAATTATGACTTTGGTATCAGTTTCAAGCATTACTTCTTTATCATTGTATGAAATTGTAATAAAATTTAAGTCTTGAAGAATGATACATTGTAAATGCTGCAAGTTAGTACAATAATCAACTTCAATCTGGTATATCATTATCCAATTTCACAATTTGACAGAAGCCTTGCCACAAAATCAACACTTTCACAAATTTTCCTGTCTCTATGTACCCAGAGTAACCTTGTTTCTATCCTGCTAAACTAACACTCTGCCCCCATCTAGGTCCGTGTGTAAACACATAGAGAAATGGTTCAACAACAACAAAAGACGTGTAAACATTTGACCTGCGGAGCACACAGCATTAGCCACACGTACATATGCCAGAAGTGCTTTCTATAATTCAAAGAGATAAAAGTGGGAAGACTATATAGTCTCATACATGTATTTGTTCTTTAAATTGATTTTTTTCTTCAATTCCAGAATGATTTCCTAGCCGCACAGTAGGAGAATGTATCGGCAGGTGTACGTATACAATGTATGAGTAAGAACATCCAAAGAACTTGCTATAGACAGTGCTAGATACCACTTCTGTCCACTGATTGACAATGACTGTAAACAGTTGTTGACAGTTACTACGGTGACCGTAGGGTTGTTTGCTGTACACAAAAATTGTTGTGGCTCATTGATTAAATCACAAACAGGTACATGTATTGTTAGGGATCAGTCACAGTTGACAGCAGACATATGCCCTCAGGTAACCTACATGAATCAAACATGGTGCAGAAAACTTACCACACATGGAGATAGGAATACAAACAGAAATAAGCAACACTTTTATTAGACAAATATCTTCTTTTCATTGTGTTTCTTTGCTTTTGTTATTCTGCAGTTCTGTTAGGAATGTGGGGAATATCTAAATCTAACAAGACATCCAGCAGGATTGATGGGGAGGTGCAGACGTTGTCATCTGGGTCGCTAAACATGTAGATTGTGATGGATCATGGCGGGAATTTTTTTCTTTCTCACCATACATTCTGTCAGCATTTTGGAATTCATTTTCCTCATGGTCAGCATAAATGCTGATGATTCATGAGTGCATTGAAGACATCGATATAGTATAAGTTGTTTTTATCACATGTATTTATTTCTTGTGATATAATCTGATTCAATCAATGTCAAGCCTACGAAAGCAAAGACTTGGTTAGTTGGTATAGCATGCACTTCACATTGCTGACAGTGGACTAAAGTCTTGTATGCATGTTGTTATAGTGGCATGAACAGCTGCTGTTTTAACCTTGTCATAGCAAGGAGAAGGTTACGGCTACACACAGCACAATACAGCCTATACACACAGCACAATACAGCCGCTGATGACTGACAACCTTAACTAAAGAGGTTCAATGCCTTAACCAAGGACTCCTACTTCCAGGTCAGTCCCATCACCCATAACCTTTTCCTTCCTGCAGGCTTTTCCCACACTTTCTGACATCGCCGCAACATGTTTTCCTCTTGCCTACCCTACTCACGTAGGGCTTAAACAATGTGTGAAAAGGCCAGAGTGACAAGACTTGTTCCACCTGGGTATTCAATGGAGACCAATTGTGTAGATGTTTAACCTCACTTTGATATGCTGACTGCTTTCCTTTGAACTTGATTTTACAGTCTTGCAAGCTTGAATACTGGTAGGCTAACAGATGTAAATACAAACCTTTGTACAACATGTGAAGAAGCTTGAATTTTCATTATTGACCTTTCCTATGGTACCCTTAGCTTCAGTGTCACCAGTAGTATTGCCCTCAGGTTCTGAACACCTGGTTTAGCTGACCTTCTTAGCAAAATTATGATCCATATCTATTCAAAACATAAGCTTTATTGTTTCTATATTTCTACAGCTTAAGTATGGAAGTAAACAACAATAGTACTATAACATTATCCAACACATGGATACTAACTAAGTAACAGTAACATCTCATTTCCTAAATGCCAACTTTTTGAAGAGGGAAGTACAAAGTTCTGTGAAGTGGACTTGAGTCGTGAGTTCCTTGATTGTGAAGTGTTTAAGTTATGTATTCAGCTGGCCATACTTGGTTCAGGTACATGTGACTCAGAACTATCAAGCAACAAAAACATTCCAACCATGGTGGGGAGCTTAAGATCACAGATACTGTGGAATTCATGACAAGTGCTTCCGTAAGATTTTTTCTGAGCTTAAAGTAAACTTACACTGATACATTTCTGCAAACAATGGAGCTGTATCCAGGTAATTTATCATACTTCATAGGAACTTTCACCCACTTTCAGGAACTTTATATGTCAAACAAAAACAGTTTTGAATCTGTGATGATAAACGAATTCATACTTCTGTAAACTTTTGTCAAACTTTGAAGTTGGAAATCTTCATACCATAAATTTTCAATGATTCAGTGTTCATTTCAGGTCCAAGTATCACTGATGTCAATATCTAATACATGTTACTTGTATACTTAAATTTCTAACAAAATCCTATTTTCAAGTCCATACATATCACCTACCAGTATGTCACCTGTCCCACCAATTACATGTTCCCTAGGGAACCAGTACAGGTGGACCCTGGGGGGTTTCCCAATGCAAAAGTACATTTTCTTTGTACCCCCAAAATACACTTAATTGCTGTTCCTCTGTGTATCATTGTGTACACTGGAAAAATGGAATTTTAGGGGGAACAAAGAAGTTTTGCAACAGAGACTAAGTCAGGTCCCTAAGGACTGGGTAAATTTTCCAAGGCTGGAGCCAAAAATGGTATCTCCGTATGTTATTTCATTTTAATGTAAAACAGTCCTTTCACTTCTAAAGGCAAGCAGGTGGGGCTACTTTTTTTTTTCAAACAATTGGTCAACTGCAATAAAACTACAAAATAATCTTCATAAAGGTTAAAAGCCATTGTCTTCCCCACAGTTTGCAACAAAGTAGACAAGAGTCAGGTGTTGCCATTAGGAAAGGTAAGCCCATTTGTGTGACACCTCACGCTCGTCCCCAGCGCCCGTGGAGAAGCCATAGGCATAGATCGTGGCTTAGCACAGGCTATGGAAAATAAACTTTCTTTAATGCAAATCTGTCGTTTTTGTTTTCTTTGTGCTCTCTAAGTAAAGGGTTATGGTAACACTCTGGTGGTATCGTCGTGCGCGCTCGCTAGTACGTCGTTATAACACGGCGGCGATCTGAGTACACTGCATTCTTTCTACTATCGGGACCTAAAACAAGACGCAAGACTACTATTTTGGGGTATAAAATGCTGTCACAATGGTAACATACTATATGAAACGGACCTATACAAAATACCTCATTTGGTGACGCTATGAGGGGGTACCGTTACCCCTCTACATTTGCGCAGAAGGGAGTTAGTCGCGGAAGGAACTTAGCCACGGAGGGAGTTTTGGCATTCTCCACGGACGCGCGATAAACTCTCGTCCCCAGGACAGTTCACTCTGCTGCCCAGCATGCTTTGCGCAAAATGCGTTCTCGGCCCCAGGACACAAATACACGCTAATGCTTCCGCACTGTGTTGCTCTGGGGACCCCGCCGCGCCCAGATGTGGATTTAATTATAGCGCGCTAGCGGACGCTGCGGAGGAGCGTGATCTGGCACAAGGATAATATCATCTCATGGACGACGAGCAGTAACAATGGTCAAATATCAATATACATGCTTTACACAAATTAAACTCTTTTTTTCTTTGTCCAACACATGCACTACATGCACTTTCATGAAACTTCCTGAGAGGCCATTTCTATAGAAATTTTAATGTATGTTGCGGGTTGAAATTTTTTAGATAAGCTAAAGCCTGGTTATGTTACAGATCATATACTACTGATTTAATATGAGTACTGCTTGCCATTATACATTTCTGTCCTTGCTCTAAAACTGTAATTCCAAAAGTCAAGAATGGGAACAGTGAAAATGAAACTTAGTGTAGGTAGATTTCTACATAATGATGATGTTGTTGTAAGAGTTTAGGTGCTTATCTTTTAATAGCTCTAGTGCCATTCTGTTGTGCAAACAATTTGCACCTGTGATGGTATAGTCACTGCAGTGCAATATGGATCAGTCACCTGTTTAGATTGAATTCACTTGGAGTGGAAATGATTCTGAAAGTCTCAATTCTTAAACCTGATTTCAACTTTGTCATTCATAGATCATCTTTGCAACAAAATGACACTGGACTGACTAGAAACAATGGGGCAATATTTTGGAACAAAGGAAATTTGTTGTTATTGGCCATATGCCAGTCAGTTTCTTTGTTTGATGATATGATATGCAACATGGCATGTTGGTAAATAGATATGCTACTTATCACATACACCTTGTCCTTGATATATTTCAAATAATAGTACCTATAAAGTTCCTTGCTGGAAATATTGGGTATTAGATTTTTTTAATGTAGTTTTATGGAATTGTTAAATACAATTGCATTTTACAAAATTTCACACTGCATATATCTATTGTCATTAGAAGGCAACCAGACCCATGCCGTAATTGATTCCCCACTCAGAGTCTCTGCTCTAGAGTAGACTACAAGAAGTGTAACTGTAGAATTATGCAAATAAACAACTCACCACTCTCCGTCTGCAGTTTTAGTCTTCATGTCTCTCACCAGATAAGCTGTCCCAAAATTCCCACTTCCTAGTTTCTTCTCCACCACATATCTATTATCCACAACTCTGATCTCTTCCTGGTCCTTGGGCTTTTTGGGGCTTTTCTGTAAGCTTCTTGGCATCTCCTTGGGCAGAGGCATCTTGGGCGGCTTTGACGACAACTTCTTTGAGTTTGACACGCAAAACTTTCTTGGCGATTTCCAACGTTACGTTACCTCTCTGAAGTCATTACAACAACCCTTCAGTTAGCAGAGAAATCATAGCATAGATACCGACTGTATAGGACTTTAAAAGAATTTGGAACTTTACGTGAAGGACTAGCACCAATCCGCAGGTGATAAATTTAAATGTATACAAAACACAAAAGACTGGCGATCGCGGACGGCTTCGTCGCGAAGACCACAAAACCCCACGGATTCCGAGCTTTTACAGCGTCTCTACTCTAAGGAAAGCTCCGGAATGTCTTCTGCTAGATCCTGGCCATCATGATGTGTCAGTTCGGGTTGAAAATCCTTATTCTGTGGAAGCACTAAGAGTAAACGTCGGACCTACTGCAGGACTGTAGTCGTAACCTGACACCCAGGAGTTTCTTACTGTGTAGCCATGCTGGGTCAAAGGTGAGAGCGAGGTGAAAGGTCTACAAAATCAACGTATATATACTTTTAGTATACCAGCTTTAGTGTTGAAACAATTTTAAAGCATCATCAGCTTATTGCTAAGATTAGTCCACATGTAGGTTTTTTAAAAATTAACAGGTCGCAAAATATGACCTTTGACCCTTAATAAGACCTGCACACCACCAAGTACTGGCATGACTGGTAAAAAATACTAGAAATAGTAGAATTGATTGATTAGCATGAACCAAGAGGTATGCATAGGATTGTATATGTGTTAATGGTCTCACAGTACTAGTATTTGAGAGCATTCACCTCTTCCTAATCTACATATTATATGTATATAACAGTTAGGTGAGATATGGGGGGCATGCACTTCTGTGCCGCCTGGGTGGTCATTTATATTGAAAACCTGGATTGGTCCTTGGATGGTGTATGTGTTTTCTAAGTACATTGTGTAAAGATTCTCTTTGGAATGCATAGTTGGCAGACAACCCCAATATCATTTTTTTCAGGCCACTCTAAATGTTACAACTTTTGCTGTACAATACTCATGTATACGATAGCCCGACATCTGAGGCACCATGGGTATCCAGGGGTTCACCAGCTTCATAGAGGACAACTCACACCTGTTCACTGACTGTCAGCTGTGCAACACCCGCGTCGTCATCGATGGAAACAACCTCTGTTACCGGCTGTACTTCGATAACGGTCTGGACGTGAAGCACGGCGGAGAGTACGGAAAGTTCGCCGACTTGATCAAACTGTTCTTCAACAACCTGCGTACTTGTCATGTGGAGCCGTACGTGATATATGATGGAGCCTACGAGAGCAACGACCACAAGTTTACCACAACCTTGGAGAGGAGCAGGAGACGGATTCTGTTATCAGAGACAATAGCCAGGGATGGGCCAGGAAACCTGTTACCAAGTAAGTCTGTCCAAGGGGACATTGTTTGTTTGTTTGTTAATTCATTCATTCATGCATTCATGTATTCCTTCATTCGTCCATTTGTTCACTTGTTCGTGCCGCCCTTCCTTCCTTCCTTCCTTCCTTCCTTCCTACCTTCCCTCCTTCTTCCTTACTGACTAATCAAGGAGGGTTAAAATCAAATCTTGATTTTAAACCTATTTGAACTAACTAACCAACTAACTAACCAACCAACAAACTAACTAACCAACTAATATAGCTAACCAACCATGTAACTAACTAACCAACTAACTAACCAGCCAACTAACTAACTAACTAACCAACCTAACTAACTAACTAAATGTGACACATTTTATAAGCAAAAGCTGACACCAATAACCTGACTTCCCCCCAGCCCTGGCCTCTGCGATGTTTAAGCAGGTGGTGTGCAGCCTGGGCGTGTGCTGTGCTCAGTGTGACTATGAGGCTGATCGGGAGGTCGTGATGCTGGCCAACAGCTGGAACTGTCCTGTCATCAGTGTGGACAGCGACTTCTTCATCTTCAACATCAGGTGACAGGCTTAATTCTAACACCCTTAAATTTTGACTTAATGTTGTTTTGCCCAAGTATGTGTGGTTGTTTTAGGACATAGCTAACATCTGAATTAAAGTAAATCATTTTAAAAGGCATATTCAACCTCCTTGGTCTGAATGGACCCTTTTCTCCAGCTCCATGGTTTACTGTTAGAAGTATGTAATTAGGACCATATAGTAGACACATTCTTGTGCAAAGATCTCATGAATACCCATTATTCCCATACCACAGGGCAGGATACATCCCATTGAACCACCTGTACTGGAGGTCTGTGTGTAAGAGGAAGACTCAGGACCAGGAGGATGACACAGGGTCACAGGAGAAAGTTCCCTACCTTAAGGCTCAGGTCTACACAGTGGACAACTTCTGCAGGTTTAGTTTAAGTTCTTATGATCTTCTTTCTTACTGTTTAGTCCCATTACTGGGTATATTAGGAGATCATGGTCCTATTTCCTTTGTTTTATAGTTAATTACTTGTACTTTGTTTCAGACATACCTACTGGTTCAAATGTTTTGCCCAATGCATAGTCTCTCTTCTATCTCTTGGCTTGATTTCGCTGACGAAGAGCACAATGCATAGTGACCATGGGAATAAATCAATAATGACCATGTGTGTTTCTGCCTCTGCAGTTCCTTTGATGGTCTACAGGTGGAGATGCTGCCCCTTCTTGGCACACTAATGGGCAATGACTACCTGCCTGTGACCCTGTTTCAACCATTCTACAGTCAGATCAAGCTGCCTAAAGGAAACAATGTCTTCTTTTCACGCAGGTCAGTTACATAGATGATGTTGTAGATGTATTTATGGTGATCTTCTTAATGTTTGTTGTTGTAAAAAGTGTTAAGATGGACAAATTCTTATCTTCCTCTTCTGTACATTCACAGATATGCTCGAGCATATGGTGTCATCTCCTGGCTTCAGGAGAGGGAAAGTCTTGAAGATGCCTTACAGAGAGTCTTAAATGTCTTTAAGAAATCCGAGCGTGAGGACTATAAGATGATGATCCAGTCTTCCATGGTAGTGTACACATTTTTCCGGTCCTATCTGGTGGATTATTTTGCTTCGGGAACATTGTTGTGTAGGCTTCTGACTCACGACGGCTACCCCCTTCCAGACTGGGTTCTACAGAACATACGTCAGGGAGCCATGCCTACCATGTGCCTGAACGCGCTGGCCAACCACAGAGTCTTCTTACACACACAGATTGAGGACTTAACACAACCAAGTGCCAATACCTGCTCCCTTCCTATCAGGGTGGCGATATACAACATTCTACTGAGCCACGATGAGAGTCAAGTATTGCAAGAATCTCCAAAGTCTCACAAGAAATCTTCTAGGCACTCCAAGGAGTTCTGTGTTGAAGAATATGACCGGATGGGGAAGGACTTGAAGAGGACATTTATAAGGCCTGACTATGAGTCTACCAGATATGGCTGTTTACCAAACTTGGCCGGGGTTTCAGCACTGTGTGAGGAAGATAGGAGGACCCTGCTGCTAGAGGTGCTAGGAGTGAAGGCAGAAGACATCTCACAAATCCCTGCTGGTCTACAGTTAACCGTAGCTGTGGTGTGTTACTGGATCCAACATGCCAACCCTAAGGTGTCTTTCCTACACCTGTACTGTCTCCTACTCTGTTTCATCAGACATGACATCCAAACCTGTCAGGACCCACTGCCAGCTGAACTTCTCCCTGAACCGACTACCTCTACCTCACAGCAAGGCAAGAAGGGAAAACAGACCTGGACTCCTCCTAAAAGCTGGATACCAAAGACAGTGTCTGCATTCTTTGACAAGTTCCGGAAGCCATCCAAAACCAGGTCTTTTGACTTGGAAGGGGTTCATGGGTTTGCCCAGTTCCAAAGCTGTATGCAGTATGCAAGTAAGTAGTGACTAAAAAGGCCCAAGTCATATCTGTTGATGCAATATCTAAAAGTTTGCCAAGTTGATACTAGTTTATGAGTGACTTGTTAAGTGTTAAGTTGTCTTTTATATGACTTGTTGTTAATTGTCAGTGTATCTATGCTTTGTATATGATATTTTCCTGTGTGTCATGTAGTATTGTATAAATGTAGGATGGCAGGAAGAATTGACTATGCATGCTAATTGTGGATCCAAATAACCTCAAACTAAACTCGATCTTGTTGCAATCGTTCAATCCACACAGAAATGAAACTAACTGTACAAACATTTCTATTCCCAGTGTACCTGAACAAGGTAGCATGCCTGCCCCTACCCCAGCCTGACTTGGCTGGTCTCTTCAGTGGGATCTTTGCACATGAGTTATACAAGGAGATGAAGAACAAGGCTGACGTCCTGGGCTGGATCATGTCAGCACTGGGGAAAACCTCACAGGTAAGGCTGGGTTGTGTGTGCATGCTTAGGTTAGGGAGAACAATTAAAAAGCTGTCTTTTGGCTTGTCAACATCTAGTCTCCACTAGCTCAATAAATAGTAGAAATCTGCCGTGCAGGCAAACTGGACCATCTATGGCCGGCTAACTCCTGTGGCCAAGTTCAACTACATTCCTTTTAGCCAATTTTTACTATTTGTTCAGCCAGCTGCAAAGGAGTCTGGTGGAGACTAGTTGACATTAGTAGAAAGTGAAGATCAGTTCTATATGATAAAGGAAAACTTGCTGACAATGTACTTGTGCATGTTCTTATGGTTTCTTTAAACAAAGTTTTTATGCCCATCATTTCATCTGTAGTGACTGTATTTATTTCTGTGTTGTTACAGGTTGCAGAAGAGTTCTACAGGCTACAGACGGTTGTGAGACAGATGGTCTCAGAGGAGTCCTTTGCCACAAGACAACAGTCCAAAACAGCCAGGAAGAAACAGAAGAGAAGGGAGAATTCCGCAGCATCTTCCTCAGGGTACGGGGAAGGATCGAGCTCATCTTCAAGTGTAGATAATGAAGACTTAAAGGAACAGGAGACTTCTGTAGATGTGGTGGCATCTTGTACGCTTGAGAACAAGTTTGCAGGGCTGATGAGCTTGGATTGTGATAACTGAGTGTTATCAGTTAGTACAACTGTCTAATGCCTTGCTGTTTTGAAGGCTGGTACATACATCAACAGTAAATATCAATAGAAGTCTACAAGGTGGAGGAGAGAGGAAAGGGAATGTTAAGTCATGATGGGACAATCATACAAGTATGGATGTTAGAACTGTAACTCCCCAGTGTTTGGAATGTTGACCATAAGATATCATCTTATGTCAAGTTCCCAAGTACAAGTACAAAATTCACGAGTACATGTATATTGAAAGACAATCATGTAAGAATTGGAAGGTTTTCTCAGCCCTCAAAATCATGTTACTACAATAACTACATCAATGATAATCACTAATAAACAGGGAGGAATACTTCCTGAACATGTATTTTAATGATACAAAGACATTCTTCTATTTTTATAAGAAAGACCTCTACTATTAAAGGTTCAGACTGTGTAATCATGTGTAGGTAGCAAACTTTGCAAGTTTGTCAACACCATAGTTGAAGAAGTTAGTAATAGTGATGTTATTTTCCCATTTTTTTCATCAACTTTGTTCTCATAGCTTGCACTTTTATGTAACATGCTTAGACTTTTTTCAACCCACACTTTTGTTCACTACTAGGTATTCTGTTGCTATTATGGTATATCCTGTCTTCTGTGCTCAAAGTCTCTGTGCTTCAGCCATTAGTTCTGATATTGAGAATAGTACAAGAGTCAGTTGGTAAAATCTGGGAGAACTGCCCCGTCTGATACTACTGGCACTGTCAGAACATTCTGTGACTATCTTGAGTAAGTAGCAAAGGCCATTTTGATGGAAGACATGGCAATTGCCCAAGAGAAAGACTTGTCATTTTTCTGATTTTTCTGCTATCCTTCCTTCCTAATGCACACACAGCCAGAATCCTAAGCAATTCCTTATCTAATGAGGAATTAAGATGATCTAGTTATGACCCTTACAGACTACATATAATAATGCTTTATTCCCTACACATACTAGTAGATAGGCACAAAAAGAAATTCACAACCAGTGTCACCTGGTCCTGTGCAATTCATACTTTTATTCAGATGTCCATTATAACAAGCTGTACAGAGACCACAACACAAATTCATTCATTTTTTCTATTGTACAAAAAGGTTTAATTTTCCTCTAAGGACTAAGTAATTTTTGTACTGCAACTCTCCTTGATTTATTAACAAATTTTCATAATTTTTTATACAGTTTTGCACACTGGTTGGCTCTGGAAAGAAGTCCTTGTACTCTATGAGATGGCGTAGACAGGTTTAGCCATTATTGTACCTGGTAAGTGTATACGCAGTCCGGGAAGAGTCGAGGTACATGTACACAGTACACAGATCTAACCACCTATAAGACACCCGATGCATTTAGACATACATACATACAAATGTACACATCGTGCCATGTTTGTTTACCATTTTTTTTCACAAATGTACTTTTGATGACCCACAGCTAGTGGAAAAGGAGGCTAATAAAGAATAGTGGCAGAGTCATGAAGACTACAATATGTACATTCCTTTTGAGGTCCAGTGTAATAATCTGTCCTTCCCTTCAAAGGGAGACACTACAGTGAGACTGGAAAGTCTGTATATCATCATTGAAGCACAGATCTCAGTAATAATATGTACATATTGCAAAGATGCTAATTGAGGTTGCAGCTTACACTTACTGACTAGATTCTCTTTTGAATTTTAAACAACTTTGAGATTGCTAAATGGGTGATGCAGCAACCAGCCCTTGATCTGAGCCAACAAATGTAGATCTTGGAACAAAGAACTGGACAATAAATTTGCATTTTGTTGCATACCTTTCAGTTGTGAAGCTACTGTCCCCATATGGGTGGGGTTTTAATGTGGCAGATGTACTCAATATGATGTTTACTTCTGCCACTTTTTTTTCAAAAGTGAAGTTGATCTGAAATGTTTACAGTACAAAAACGCCACCTAAGCATTCACTCGCAAACTGCAGTGAAGAGCACCAATGTGCTGTACACTCTTCACATCACATATGTGCCATAAACTGGTAAATAGGTATTTCCACTATGATTGGTCTGTAACTTAGCACTGGCACTTACAGTTCCTTTCTGGGCCCAACAATAAATATATAAATATACAATACAAAAGAAATGGAATACATTTTTTTCTTCCAAGTAAATCTGAATGTAACACAAATACTAAATTGTTCTCACACTTTAAACACAATTTACAAAATAAAAGCATGTACGGTTTGGGGTTAAACACAATCAATGTCATCACACATCAGTCATGCACAAATGGTGCAAGCAAAAAAGTAACTTCATCTGATGAAAGAGCACACTGGTTTCAACTGAGGTGTATCAAAGCAGATAAATTCAATTTTTGGGTCTTTCCTAAATCCTTTACAGCTTTGGTGCATCTTTCCTGGTTGGTCTAGGGCACTCATGGGAGACAAACTAAAGGGGAATACTTAAAAAATGTGCATTTTGATTCATAGTGATTTGAGTTCAATGTCAAAAAATAGAATTTTGATAACAACTTTATAGGCAGTGACACCATATAGGAGGAAAGAACTGGACTTATAGTCATTCTCTTTCCCTTTACAAACAAGAAAAGTAGACAGAATCCATGGAAACAGTACTGCAGTAAAACACAACACAGCTGTCCTGTTCAACTTATTTCTTCTGGAATTGATGACCTCTTAGTCTTATGTGGAAGAGTGAAAAAAAGTCAACAAAAAGCCACAAGAAAAGCACTTTTTGTTCTTCATTTTTGGGCATTCATTACAATTGATGGTAAGAAAACTTATTCGATAAAAAGAGGTGGTAGAAGATTATATTATTGAAAAAATATACATACTGCTTTCAGCTAAGCTCAGAAAACATCACCGTATCAGCCAAAAACAAGCTTTGTGATCAATGTGGTATTGTATAACTTTTCTGTTTTTTTACAGTTCTACTTCAGCATATTGCCAAACAATTTCAACCAATGGTCCCTCCCTTGTATTCTACCAGTATCTGACTTAGTATTTTCTCTGGCCTAGACAAGTGGAAAAAAGCAAAGTGATTGGTCAATACAACTGTCAATCAAGTCAGCAGACAGCAGAAAATTTGCATCCTTGACATTTAAATATAGGAATACTTGCTGTCCACAACCACTTGCTCCTTAGGCCACAGCAAGTAATTTTTATGGATGACATCAGCGCGCGCATTGATTTTTGCCTGATTTTGAAAAAAGAAAAATTTTGTTGCACTCTGACAGTGGCCAACATGCCAAAGATGGGCGATGTCTGTTGCCATGATTGAAAACTTTTATTTTTCAAAGTTGTTTCAGTGCGAAAATGGATGTTGTTATGGTTGACAGTAAACTTAGCACAATATCATTTATTGTTTAACAAGGTTCATGGTGTCAAAATTTGAAAATGTAGGAATCTTGTTTTTTTTTGGCCCACCTTGTTTTCTCTTCTCACCCTTTCGCATTATATTTGGAGTCTACGGAGGATGTCATCCATAAAATTTACTTGCTGTGGCCTTCTGAGGCAAAGGTCCCCCCCCCCCTCCACCTCTGCTAGTGTTAGTTATATTTTGGGAGTGATGAACTAGAGACAGTGGTCCCTGTCAGTGTTTGTTATTTGAGATAGGCCTTGTAGAGCATGTTGGATTTACACGTCTCCTTCTCCTGTTCCAGCAGGAAGATCAGGTCCCTGAGGTTGGCACGCTTGGTCCGCGGCCGCACAGGCTAGGGGCAGAAAAAAATCATCAGTGACATAGAGGTATCTTCAACACAAAGCCCAGGGCCTATTTATCCTTTTAGGCCACACCAATTTATTTAAATGGCTCTCAGATTCGCCTGCTTCATCTTTTTTAAGGATTCAGGTTCTGAATCAACTCCAAAATGCTCATATTTTGGTCCAAACAGTTGAAGAAAGCTCCTTGTCTCCTAGCTGCTACAGTTTTTCCATCTATCAATGTATTGGTTTGATAAAGAGGTTCAAATTCATTGTTTGAATTATAAACCAGCCTGGTATGGTTTTTTCCCTGTCCCTTAATATTTTTTCTGAAAAAAATCTGACAACCAACAAATCTATCTGGAGTGGCCTTAATGCACCAAATATGGACAATGCAAGCAAGATAACTCTTTCTGTCTTTGTCCAAATTTCCTGCTCCCCTTCCTATAGCATGTCCAGAAGTAAATTTTCAGGCACCGGAGATTGACTGGAGCGGCCACCTACCTGCACCGAGGCTCCAGGTGTGAAGGAGGAGGAGCTGCCTGGTCCGGGAGAGTCCACTTTTCTCTTCTTACGGGGGCCGATGGCCATGAGTGCAGTCATGTTGGCCTCCTGGTTCCTGATCTTCTCCAGTTCCAGCTGTTGTAGCTGTTTGTAACAACATTTAAAAAATCAAACTGCATCATTCCCTGACAATGACCAACAGCTATGTGAAAAACAGCACGTTTTAGTAACGAAGTCATATTCTGAGAAACACGAGTGAAAATAATTTGCATTGTTAAGAAATAAGTGTCTTCATCTCACCTCTTTGGCCTTTTGTTTTAATTTGAGCTGCTCAGGGTCTTCTTGTCTGGATCGACTCTGAAAAGAAAAAAATTCTAATATTAATTTAACACATTATATAATGATATTCTCCATGCAAATATTGTCTCTTACTTCTCCAAAAGGTCACCATTAAGAATAAATAAGGAGTGAATTATTAAAGATTCTTTCTGTGGAAGATATAGTACTGTATGCTACTGCTTTGCAGTTAAATACACTCGTAGGTGCTTTTTAAATCAGTTAACAATGAATACTACATTTGACCAATAAGTACAGTAAACAGGAGAATGATGTACCTTTGCTGCTCTGAGAAGCATCTCTCTTTCCTGCTCGTCGTGTCGTTTCTTCTCCAATCTGTCCAACTCCTCCAGAAACTTCACCTGTTGTCTGACCTGTCCTGTCACCTCGTACCTGGAGTCATCCTGTAGGAGGGGAAAAACAACTTGTGTTCTGAACTGATTCGTATGAAGCATGTTGCCATCATTTACAACTCTGTACCAACTCACAAACAATGTATATGTCACTAGTGATATCAGAATCAAGGTTTTTGAATTACCGTTTATAACCCTAAAAATGTGTTGCACACTACTTGCTAGTTTTTGAAGTTAGCTATAGACTAAGGTTACTGTCACTAGTGAGTAGTATGCAGCACATTTTAGGGTTAGGAACGATAATTAAAAACCTTGATTCCAATCTTCCGTGGATTCCAACCTCCCCTGTGACACACACAAATAATAAAGAAGGAGTTTTAAAGCAAAAACAAAGAAGTGTTGTTTGATGCCAATAGAAGTTATCCTGTGTAATTTGTAACTGACCTTGTAAGACTCCATCCTATGTCTGACTATGACTGTGAGTTTCTCTAACAAGTTGCGTAATCTCTCCTCGGCTGCATGTGACACCAGACTCACCACATCTGGGCTTGCGTCTTCTAAACCGTGTTTCCTTGCTGGAAAGGCACAGGGGCAAAACAATGAAATTACATATCAGGCCAAAACTCATCTTGCTTTGCTTAAAACTATAAATTGACATAATGATGAGGCCTAGAAAAAAATGTTATGTTTCCTATTTCCCAACCAACCCTAGAAAAAACTGTCGACCCTAGCCTTTTTTTGTGGACCCCTGCAACTTGCAGGAACATAAATTTTTGGAGCTGATCGACCATGATCTGACACTGAGTGATGAAACATTCAGTACAATCGGGTTTTCCAACACTGGCATTGAAAATATAAGTGTCCTCATACTTTGTTAACTGTATTGTATAAGTTGGATCACTAGAAATTGCCAAAGTCTAAAAAAAAAGATAATCCCTACCTACTGACCCTAGTTATTTCTGGACTGAAACAGGAAACATAACATTTTTTTTCCAAGGCCCGACAATATCAGTGACAGCACTACTAAGCAATTTCTTGTGACGTTATTTCCAAAATTAAATATAGTGACGACTAATTTCAGGTAAAAATAAAAGACAAGATAACTAACCAATTTCTAGTATTCTTTTCCTCAGAGGAGCAGACGACAGGAACGTCTCGTCTTTACACGACCTCAGCTCCGTGGCCACCAGCTCAGAGTTGGTTGCTAGGATACGGGCGCTCTCTTCTGAGAGGTTGACGCCAGCCATGGAGGCGACGTCATTGATGTCATCATCGTCCCTGGAGAAGCCTGCATGTCCACCTGGGTGTCTGCCCTGGGGTCTGAGGGAAGCCAACACAGAGTTTTAGTAAAGGTTCTACATTAAAGATATGCAATGCAATTTCAGGGCAGCAAAACAAAAAAAAATTTGGATGAGGGAAATCTGTCTGATATTGACATTTACTGCCATTTCTTAGCACATTTTCCTCATCATTTCATACTTGAAGCATTTGATATAGCCGAGAAACCCACTATGTGAGGCATGCCTTGATTTTTAGGTACCACCCATAAATAGCTAGAACCAGCCTAAGATACAAAGCAAGAAACCATTTCAGTGACATTGCATTTTTGCCTCTCACATATATCAGCATGCTATGGGATAGGATTGACTCAACTTACTATATATTAAAAGAATGACCAGAAACTTGACTTCAGAAACCATGTTTTCCTGCCATGAAATTGCATTGGATACCTTCAAAATGAAGGTGATATTTTCCGAAAATTGATTGAATCCATCATACTGCTACTCACCTTGAGGGAGAGTCTTTAACCTTGTGACTAGCCTGAGGTGTCCCAGGTACAAACCTCATGACCCCGCCCTTCTGCTGAGCAGGAGACCCGCGGATGATGTGTACCCCGGGCACACCTGTCGGCTGGGTGGTGACCAGGACTGGGCGCTGCTGGTGGTTGGTTGCCTGGGTGGTGGCATGTCCCATGGCTTTGAGCTGAGCCTGTTGGAAGGCCTGTACAACAGGATGGAGTGATGTCAGTAATGCTCTGTAATCCTGCTTTTAATGACACAAAAAGTAACACCCATGACATGTTCATGAAGACATTTTCTGAGAGGAAGGCCAGTGCAGAAAGATTTTCAAGACTGTACAAAAAAATTAACTTTTTAAACAACAATTTTGCAGAATAGAAAAATTACTCTTGGGATTCAATGGTTCACAATTTAGCAAAGTAGCAATGCACTAAAACCTGCATAGTTCATAGCTAGCAGTATTGTCAACCTGCCTAGGTGTTATTTGGTTGAGAAGCAGAAAGTATTTCCAAATTGCAGAAGAAAATTCTGACAACTTTTAATATTGCAAAAAACTGAAAAAAAAAACACTGAAGACCCTTAGTTAGAATCACAAAATGGAATAACTGTTGTCAAGGGTATGACTGACCGTCATCTGTGCGATCTTGATGGCGGCCTGGTGTCTGACGTTGGGTGGGTGTTGGCTCTGTGTGGTCACCACCACGGTCTGGCGGCTGGTGGACGTGGAAGTCACCAGCGTTGTCGTCGTGGCAACAGGAGCTTGTGCAATGGACGATGTCTGAGGAGGAATCTGCATGCCGCCTATCGCACCGCCTTTCGCCAGCGCTTGTCGAACATACGGTAGACTTTTCTATAATGACAATATGCAAACAAACAAATCTGTTAGTGGAACAATGGGTTACCTCAATAAAATAAAACAGTCTTTGGAATCTTGAAGTCTACATTTTTCAGTTTCAGACCACCTGCAATATCTTTTGCTGCCATTAACAAAGATACTCCTGAAAGTAGACCTTGGCAACAAAAAACAATAGTCTTGGCAACAAACACCACAAACAGCTAAGTTCTAATACAGTAATTAAAGGGATTGAAGCAAACTCAGTACCTACCTTCAGAAAGGGAACCAAGTATGGCTGTGGGGAGGACTTCAGCTCTGTCTGCAGTTTGAGGGTGAATTCCTCAGGCTCGATCTTAGCATCCTGGAGAGGGCAGACACGGTTACTGATATGGCACAATCTTCTAGATGTCTAAAATCAATACAATGACCTGCATTATTTTGTTATTTACTATTTCTGCTTGTTCGTGAGGGCTTATTTGTTCTTGCTTTTGTTTTGGTTGACTTTTATCAAATTTTGTTATAATGTTATTCTATTGTTAAACTGGATAGAGAGAAAGAGAGATTGTTGGGGTTGTCCCCCCAGGAATTCTTTGGCAAAACGTCAGAAGGCGATAAGTCTGTCCTGGATAAAATAAATAAACAAAGAACAGAAGAACTTTTCAATTGTCAAATGTGATCATCTGTTCAACACAGCTCACCAAAAGGTTCTGCACCAGTTCCTTGACGTTCTTGACCACCTCGGGCGGCTGGTTCCCACTGCTGGCCAGCTTGACCAGCGTGGTGAGGAAGTTCTTACACTTCTTCACGTTCTCTATAGCCTCCGGGGTGAGGGTCAGGGTGGACTGGGCAGGTGGCTGGACAGGTACCGTGGTTGCACCTAAAGAACGACGAGCAGTGCCTATTGCCCGATTATGTAAACAAATCTATTAATTAGGTTTGTGGAGGCTGTACTAGTACTTGAGGTTTTGCACAAACCCAAGCTTGTCACCTTACCAAAGACGGATCAACTTGTCAGGAACTCATCATATAAGGCCTAGGCCAGTGACAGACAAAACAAGCTGTGTTCTTATGACTATGTTTGGAATTTCTTCAAATTGCAATAGGAGAGTGAGGAGTAATATGCGGCAGGTTTGGATTACAAAGAATTTCAAGAAATCACACTAATCAAGTAAAATTCTAGGTCTGTTGCTATGAACTTTTTCCTAACATATGAATATTTCCTAAACTTTTTCCTAAAAGAGGGACACTAGCTTTGACAACATAAACCAGGCAATGAGTGACAGACGTATGGGCAGTCAGAGAAACCAGGATTTGACAGATGACATAGTCAAGTAAGCTAAACATGGCGCAAAGTGTTTTCTGATTCCTTTTCTAAGACCCATTGCAGAAACTCTCTTGCTAGAGATTGATCCATTTGAATTATCTTAACCCTCTCTACTACAGGCTTTTCTATGCACCACATTTGCATAAATGACAGCATGAGTCAGCAGGCTTATAGGCATGTGATACTGTAGTCTTCACTATGTGATACAGTTGGTCCTCACCTGGCAAGATAGTGGTTGCTATGTGTCCTGTCCCCGGTGTGGTCTGCACCATCCTGGGCTGTGCCATGGCGACCGGCTGTGGCTGGATGGCTGTCTGAACCATCTGTGTGGGCTGTGGGGCTGGTTTGATCTGCGCCGGCTGTGTGGGTCCTGCCGGTCTGGTGATGACTTGTGTGCTGACACCAGGCTGGTGAGAATGGCGGGAGTGTGTAGTTAGGGATTTATGCTGGGACCTGTCATCACTAGTGCTGTGGCCTGGCCTACTGAAAACTACTTTCTCTAACACATACTTGGAATGTTTTGGGTGTGATAAGGTATCTACTTGCCTGGTTCTACTAAGCAACCTTATCTACTTGTATCTGTAAAAGCTAACTTGTGACCTCTTTATGCAAAATTAATTTTCTAAGAATAAGACTAAGATTAGAAGTTTTCAAAGGTGGAAGCACCAAACAGTACATCCCAAAACACTGATGGTAGGTTATCAAAATAAACCTGATGCATGATTCTGAGGCAAAATATTTACAGTACCTAAAACCTAAATTTAATACCATTTTTTTACTAGTGTGTACCTGTATCAACTTTTACTCAAGTCCTGTGAATCAAGTTGCCATATCCTCCCTACTGGGACACTGTTGTATGTTATGTAAGCTGGCCTAATAAAATGACCACTGTCTTCAAGCATCCAATAGTTAAAAACCTGCGCCAAACCTGATAACAACTGTAAATACTTTGCACGGATTTGGTCTGTTATATATAAACTTTATGAGCTTGAGCTACATAAAAAACTCCTGCAGTCTGTTTATGAGTCTACCATTGGTGAAATCTATCATGAGTCCACAAATGCCTTGGTCAAATCAGCTCAGACTATCTACTTGTGCATCATTCTCAGCAAGTACTAATCGCAACTAATTCAATCATTATTTGAGCCTGAGATATAGCTAGAATTTCACCCAGCTAGAGACAAGACAGTGATCAAAATGTTTCCTTTGAAACTGCCTTCTCAGTTTTTGTGGTGGGTGTATTAGGTGACCTGTGTCAAAGGATACCAACTCATTTCATACAATCATAAAGTTGGTGTATTATAAAGACACAGCGAACATCTTGCACTAACTTGCATGTATCACTAAGATTTTATGAAGTGTAGCAGAGTAAGTTCACTCCATATGTCCAAACTAGTAAATAAAAACTAAGTCGTTGATAAGAGGGGTGATTTTTGCTACAAAAATGTGCAAACCTCTCTTTTCTAGTTCTACAACCTGAATTGCAATTAAGTCCTTAATTTACTGAGTGCAAGGCCATTCTGCCGTGCAAAGCTATCAGAGGTTAATGAATCATAGCAAGCAAGTTCTAAATCAAACTCTAATACTGTAGCCTATGATATGCTCAAAAATTCAATCTGGGTAATCCCATCCTGCAAGAAATTTTATGCCTTGATCATCCAATGTTATGATTTCTTTCTATTGCTTTTCAAGGCAGCAAAAGCCAAATATGCTATAGAGAACGGAGAATCTATATAGAGATGCTTGAAGTCTACCCACCTGTACACCTTGAGTTGTGGTGAGCTTGAATGTTGCAGTGCCTGGTACATTACTGGCGTTGTGACGTGGCTGTAAGCTGGCGGGTAGCGCACTCGCTGGCATCAGCGCCAGGTTACCATTCTCCTGCTTCACCAGAACCATCCCCTGGGGAATCGTGAAGCCGGGCGGAAGTGTAACGGTGGCCGTCATTGGTCCTGGAGGCCGCGGCGCAATAGCCGGCTGCTGCGGGGTTATTCTCATGGGCGTGGACGTGATGGTTGGTCTGGTCGGTTGCTGCTGCTGCGTGGACGGTTGCTGCACGGTGGCGACAAGCCTGGTCTGTGCCTGCGGAGTGCCTGGTGCTGAGGGGACCACCGTGACCGAGCCGGGGTTAGCATTCCTGATTGTTGTGGCTGTTACAACATTTATCAACGGCTGCTGTAGTGTTCTCTGCTGTATAGTCACCTGCGGCTGTATTGTCTGCTGTTGTATCGTCCCAGGTTGTATTGGGCCTGGCTGTGTACCGGTTTGCTGCAGGGTCCCATGCTGGATCCCGCCTCCTTGTCCTATAGTAACCATATTTGGCGCCAGGCTCGGTTGTTGTTGACTTCCTGATTCTTGTTTCACTACATGTGGACCATTGACACCTGACGGGTTGGCCTGATCAGATGCTCCAGCGTTTGCAGCACCTGGCTGTACTGCAGCACCTGTTGCACCGTGCAGCTTGTGCTGGGCAGCGAGCTGCTCTCGAACAGTCATTTTTGAGTTGATGTTTGGTGTTGGTGTGGTTGGTTTGGGCACTGTTACAGTGATGGTGAGAGGTTTGTTTTGAGATGCACCTGTTGTGTGTGGAGTCGACGGCATTCCGTTTGGTTGCTGAACAACATTTACAGAAAAAGGTGGAGGTTGGTTTTGTACAGAACTGTTTGGAGGAGTTCTCCTGGCTGTGGTTGCCACTGTGTTAGGCGGGAAGTTTGACGACCCTCCATTTATTGATACGACAGGATTCTGGACCACCCCTACATTAGTGGCAGAGATGGATCCTCCCACATTTGAAACATTGGCAGAGTTTACGGTCGAAGCAGTACTTGCACTAGTTGCAGTGTTTACAAGCAGCGGCGCTCCTGCGTTAGAAGACGCCTGGCCTTGCGACAGTTGAGCAGAACTTGATGAAATGGTGGCGTTTGGAATGTTGTTTCCTATAACGTTAACGTTAGATCCGGTCGAGTTCAAACTGTTCGACGAAACCATACTAACGTTTCCACTGGAAACACTACTAGCTACGGAACTCACCAAGGTTGAAGACACCACAGAACTTGCGTTCAAGGCGTGGACTGGAGGTTTTATACTCAACATGGAGTTCTGATTTTCCACCTGTAGTTCCGATTTTACCAAGCCGTGAACGTTAGGGTTCATGTTAGCTAAGCCTAGTTTTTGTCCTTGCGAAGTGCCGTCGGACACCGACACAGAATTGACATGATTAGCGTCCGTCGAGGACCCTGAAACTTGCCCCGTGGATGCGGCAGTACTTTGGGAGAGTAACTGGGACTCAAGAGACCCGACTAAGGCACTTACTGCGCTCTCATCGACCTCTGAGTTGAGAAGATCGTCCAGCGACTTGGCAGGAGTCGCCATCTTGCTGCGATGCTCCCAAAAGTGCAACTGAAGAACGCATGCGCCAAATTCGTGCGCCGAAAAGGTTGACGGGAAAACAGCCTTCGAGGCGCGCTTTGGGTTCATGACTCCTACATTTGTCCTAGCGGACTCCACAGATTGTTGAAAAACATGAGAAATTGGCCAAATTGCGTGAAAAAGAATGCTAGATAAGTAAGCTGCATTTACAAAGCTGTAGCTCTACGGGCGGTAAACTCATGTAGCAGATTGTGCACCCCATCTGGCATCTACTAAAGAAAATTTTTCAGCAACCAATCCATGCATGTCATCCATGACAAGGACTGGGATTGAAGGCCATAATTTTTGGGTGGAAACGGGACACTATATCAGGACGCCGGCGCAAGCTAGTGGTTTGTCAAAAATGCATATGATTATTACAATAAAAGAAATCCATTATAGTTTTACATAGAAATCGTGTTTGCATGTCATCATCGTGGTTCCATCTTCTTTGTAGCTATGTAAACAGGTTGGTAATAAAATTATCGGAAAGTTTCAAATTAACCACAGACACATCCAAGGATTATTCTATTTTTCTGTTATGCCATGATTAGTTTTATATTGTTGAGATTCTCACACGATGCTGAGTAGCTCAATGAAGCCAAGCATCCTCAGAGGATCAATCAAGCGGCTTTGTTTATTTAGGCGAAAACATTACTTTAGAAGAATGGAAGGAAAGAAAAACAGATTGCCCATTTCCTTTCATCGGGTAATTATACTCCCTTTCCAGCTGATGGGTTGAAACATTCGAACCTTTGGCTTAGCCATTAGTAGTCCGCTACTTTTCTTTTCACAGAAACCAAAGGTAGAGCCTAACGTTGCCATTCTGAAAAGCAACGCTTACCGTGTTGCCTTTCTCACTCTATTGTTATTTTCTTCCCATCGTCGATCCTTTCTTCCGATTGCTTCTTTGTCGACAAGTCTCACCATTGAAATCATATGAATCCCTCTAAAAGAATCCATGCACTTCGTTAACGCTATTAAATGAACAGAATGCAGAGTTGTATTCAGCCGCCTCTGACAGGTGACAGCTCTACCCATAGTTCTTTGCGCTCTTACGTCTGCCAGTGGGTTTCCGCCATATTTGCTGTGCAGCAGTTTCGCCACAGATACTGACCAGAATCGCCTGCCATCGCTCGTCGGTGAGGTGATCAGCAAAGTATCCAGCCATGAGCGGAGGAACTCCGTATCTCGGCAGCAAGATAAGCCTTATATCGAAGGCTAATATTCGATATGAAGGGATCTTATACACCATAGACACCAAGGAGTCTACTGTCGCCCTCGCGAAAGGTAAGGCCTTTGTTGTTCACATTTGAGGACCTTCAACGCATTAGAGGTCAGTTTGGTAAACGTATGCATGTGTGATACTTATAACGTGTCTTTTCAAATGTTACTCAGTGCAGAGAGGCAAGTTACGTTGGTCCAATGAGTTTGCATCGTCTGTGCAGCACAAAGAGTAACTCGAGACGTCCAGCGCGCGAAAATATTTTCAAGCACCTTCCCTTGACGTTTTGAAAGTTAGAAACCCGAGCGGTTTATGTGTCATTTATTTAGATAAAATGCCACCATGTCATGAACCTATAGAAAGTCACGAGTCTCATTTTACAATAGAGAAGCTAGAGAAAAATTTTGTAGGTAGACAGACTGGTAGGAATTCCGTCAAGGCCATAACCAGAGAAGGGGGTCTGCTCTTGTTTTGGTTGGTGCATATATATTTGTATCCCCACATACGCATTTGCAAAGCGCCAAATTGCCGCCTTATACCAGGCTTCATCATATCACACAAACCCTTCATAATTTGTCCTAAATTCGAGTTGTCAAAGTCCGAACTACAGTGTCGTACATTACGTGCAAGTTGAATATTAAATGGTATTTATTACCTTGGTTATACGGATATTTATTTGCCCCCCTCCCCAACCTTCCTTTGTACCACACATAACATAAAATATTTACGAGTCACAGTTGTTAGATAATGACAGTGCTAATGACTATGACTGACCTGGATGATACAACTGTATGTTGCCATCTCCCAGTAGTTTGGCGTTTTCAGGCATTCAGTAATTGAAATTATTATATCTAATGTGTATTTGCCTAATCACACATTATAGGTTCACTGATGCGTGAAGGGCATAATGTTGTTGCATTACCAGTTCAGTAGTTGCTATTATCACTTATCACTATTATCACTTATCACCTGGGCCTTTGTCCTTTATCAGCTAATCACATAATGCCCTTAGAATTTAATTCACCATTCAATTCACACTATGATGAGTATCTCCTTGAAGAGGTGAAATATGGAGGTTTTCTAATTAGTAAAGGAACACATATGGTAGTGTACCTTACTGGCTTATAGCCCTCAGCAGGAAGACCAGCATTATGAAGTCCTGGCATCTTGCCACTACATTACAGTACAGGGCAGAAGGTCTGGGGTCAACTCTTTTAGTTTGGAGCACAGTTGAGTAAATGAGACAGAATTCCTGTAACTGCTGTAAACAGGGATTGTTTTATTTCTTGGTGCCAGTTCGCTCCTATGGAACTGAGGACCGCCCGACGGACCGTCCGGTGGCGCCCAGAGATGAGGTGTACGAGTACATCATCTTCCGCGGCAGCGACATCAGGGATCTGCATGTCAGCGAGCCACCCAAGACAACGCAATCCAACCAGCCCCAGGACCCAGCCATAGTACAGGTCAGAAGAGCTCAAGCTCAAGCTCAATGGAATGTAACTTTCTCCCATGGTAGAGTGTTTGTCTCTTAACCAAGAGGTCCAGAGTTCAAACACTGTCATGCCACCAATGTTGTGCTCTCGGGAAATGCACTTTCTGTGGCTTTCCTCGTGTCCTCTAGTCTATGTTGGTGGTGGCATAAAAATAAGTTGAAAATCTTGCCATCACCATGTCATGTGATTTAATTTAAATGTTGACATAAAAAAAAATTTCTCCCAGGAAAAAAGCTTACTTTCCCGTTTGAGTTGAATATCAATTTTGTTCTATTGTAAAAAAGATGATTGACTCAATGGTGATTTAAAAGCCTCATATTTTGGATACAACTAAAGGTGTTTCTCATCAGCATCTTTCTATCTCTTCCAGCAATCGGCCCCAGTGGGTGCCCCCCAGGGGCCAGGGTTCCAGCCGCCAGGGTTTGGTGGAGGCCCCCCAGGGATTGGTGCAGGGGGTTACACCCCATTTGGTGCAGGGATGCCATATGGTAACTATGCCCATACTGCATGGAACCAGCAGTACAGAGAGCCGGGCATGCCTACAGGTGAGCTGGATTTCTATTCCAATGATAAGGTTTGAATCATTTAACAAGGGTTAATGTTATTATGTAGGAAACATTTTGGGTGGACATTTTGATACTGACAAGGTTTTAAGTTAAAGTCCACATCGTGGATTGGTTTAAATTTCCCCCTACAAAAGAAGGGCAATTATCTGTATAAAATGTGTTTTGTGCAGTATGTGGATTTTTTGGTACAATATACATATAGTGGTGAATGTTTAAGATTCGATAGCTAGATGGCTGGTGGCTATAAGGTGGTGGTGTAAGCTGCAACATGTGCTTTTGTGAATGATGTCTAGGTGGGTCCCACCCAGGTTCCCGTGGTTCTACACCACCGCTGCGTAAGTCTCCCACGGTAGAGCAGGGTACCCAGGTCTCCGAGTCCATGGCTCCTGGTGCCAAGAAAGAAGAGAAGCAGCAGAAACAGGGAGACAGAAAGGTAATTTAATTATAGTAGGTCTCTAGACAGTGTCCAAAATACCCATGTGCATTCTGCATTTTGCAGAGAGATTTACAATATTGCAGAACAAAAATCATACAAGCTGCAATTTTGCATTATTACGTCGAGGAGGTTGTAGTTTGGAGGCTTGTGTATTTGCAGAAATTGTTTGCAAATTGCAGAACAAAATTTGCACTTATCAGCTGTATGTACTGAGTTATGTTGCTTGCAGATCTTTATTGCTGTAGTATTGGTTACTTACTTTGTTCCAAAATTGTCCAGGCTCCGGGCCAGAGGCCATCGAGTGGTCAGCAGCAGAACCGGTCTGCACAGCAGGGTCAGCAGAACCGCCAGAACCAGCCACGCAACCAGAACCAAAACCAGAATCAAAACCAGAGAGGTAAGGCCACAGCATCTAACATGAGCTACCTATGATTTCTAGCAGCTGAGGCACTGTCAGTGTTGTATTGTTGACTGGTCTGTTTGATATGAGAGTACTGGATCAAAAAAGGATGAGTGCATAAAAAGGACTGTAAAAGGGACAGAAATATGTTGGGTAACACTGGCAGTTCATACATGATGCTTTGGCGCAGTATATATTACTAGTGTTGACAGCCACTCAGATAGAGTATGGCGAGTCTAGTAGCATGTGGAGGGCACAAGATGTCTCCCTGCACTAATGGTGGGAGCTTAATCACAACTTTTATCAACACCAGCGGTGCCCCTCCCCTCGGCCGTCAGCAGTGGCCCCTCCGCCTTCCCCCTCCAGCAGCCTACCCAGCATGCCGAGCAGCAGCGACAGCTCTTCCCAGGAGCCTCTGCCACCGTCCGGGAAAACAGGGAACCCTTCCGCGCGCCCGGGGCTCCACAGGGTAATGCTCCACTCCACCCGGCCATGTGTGATCTCTAACAGCCATGCCGCTCTACTGATCCAACCGAGTGTGATTACTCATGTACAGGATACATCAGTTCTCCTCGCCCTGTTGTCATGCCATCTCTGGACAGCTGCATTCATGTAACCAAAATCAACTGCAGCTCCAACAAACATGCTTTTCTCTGCCTGCTATATACATTTTTCCTTCTTGTCAAATGGTTGCTGCTAATTCTCATACTATGTGAAGATCTAACCAGTCATTTCCTGAGTGTGTGACCTTCAGAATATCTTGAAGGGTCTGTCTTGTGTGAAACATTCTTCTGTTCAATGATCTGTTGCAAGTATAGCTGTTTACAGAATCACTGTTAGAATCGGTGTGTCTTTGTACTTACCCTTTCTGTCCTTCCAACCACGTGATCATTGCTTCCATGGATCTGTCAATCAACCATCTGCAGAATCTACCATTTGATGATGGAATGCTTGAGATTTTTCCTTCCAACCATGTGATCATTACTTCCATGGATCTATCAATCAATCAATCTGCACAATCCACCATTTGATGATGGAAAGGTTGAGATTTTTGATGATGCATTTCCAGTTAATTTGGAGAATGGGTCTCTTATCACTTTTTCACAGCAAAAGTTACTGACTAACACTTGTGAGAACTACTATATTTGTATGATGGAGATACATTGTCATGTAACAAAATGTGAAAACATGAAGTACAAAACCAGTTGATCCACATGACTGAAGTATATTTTGTTGATGTAATTTGTTCTTGTTGTGACAGGTGCTCCGCAGCGTGGCCGTACACGAGGCAGGGGCGGCCCGCGCGGTGGTGGCGGCGGTCCCAGGCCGCAATCCGGACCCAACCAGAACAGACCGGGCAGCCAAAACAGACCGCGGGAGCCCATCAAGTTTGACACAGATTTTGACTTTGAAAGTGCCAATGCTCAGTTTGACAAGGATGCCCTGTCCAAGGAAATGGAGGAAAAACTGAAAATAAGTAAGAAAAAAAGTATGGTATGGTCACTCCTTCCTTCCTGGCATTTTCTGCATGCCTGGTTTATTTCTGTCATTTATTACTCTGCTTTCTGTCAGTCTTGTGTATTTTTTTTGAAGCACTATAGATAAACTTCAATTCGTGTGCTATCATTTTAAAATATAGCAAAATAGATTACGGTAGGTACAATTTAAGTTTGCTGCAACCAATATAAATTGATTACAGCATTTGCGATCATGTGAAAGTGAGCCCTCACACAGTGACACTACCAAGAGTAACCTTTGATTTTGACAATTGTTAGAAGGAACTGGATACTTCTAAAGGACTTGGGTGTATTTTGTTAAACAGCTATGACACTTTTTTTTTCATCTTGGTGTTATTATCATCAAAGCAAATACATAACTTTTTCTTCCTTTCCTGTTGATCTTTTCTGTCTAGACTTCTGTTTTCTAGTGTGAGGTGACAAGTTTTGTCTCTATATTTAATGTTAGATGTGGGCCAGCATTAAGGATTTTGATAGACTGGAATATGCCATTTGAAGCAACGACAGCTAGTGCAGATTTTGATGGTGAAGTCACGACATATTATGATTGTACCCGACAGCTGACAAGGACAAGGTTGTGAACGGGACTACGGAGGAGCGTGAGAAGGACGTGAGCGACTCCGGGAACGAGACTCAGGTGAGCGAGCAGCAGCCTGAGGAGGAGGAAGACGAGGTCTACTACGACAAGACAAAGTCCTTCTTCGACAACATCTCCTGTGAGGCATCCGAGAGGGGGAAGAAGAGGTACTAGGAAAGCAACATGTCTAGTTTTACTGTGATTGTAGGATGAATCATGAATGCATTGTACAGAATATAGTCATTGGCTGTGTGTGCTAGAAATGGGTATTTGAAATATTACTGTAGCAACTTCAGAGAAGCATGTCCATTTAACTATGCATGGTGACAAAAAGTTACAAGCACATTTCACATTATAGATCTGTTGTCTAATTTGGTAGATTATACTTTAATTCTTGACCTTTTAAATCATATAATAGTGCACAACAGAAGCATGCCGACAGCAGAGCATTTCTTCATTAAAAGTTTAGTCTACTTATTACTTTTTTTGTTTGTTCACATTATTGAGCATGCCACTAATCCAGATATTTGCTCTCCCAGTGAAGGTATGTTGCCATCCTACAGCAGAATGTCGTGGCAAGAGGAGCGTTCCCTCAACCACGAGACGTTTGGTGTGACCTCGCGGAACTACCGTCGTGGGTACCGTAGCAGGGGTGGATACCGCGGGGGCTGGCGCGGCCGTGGTAGGGGACGTGGGGGTGGCGGAGGTGGAGGCGGCGGCAACAGAGGTGGCGGTCGCTCGTACGGAAACAGGAACAGAAACTCGCAGGGCTGGGTGGACTATGAGTTTGACTACGAGGCAGCAGGAATCAAGAAACCCCCGACAACAGCATCATCATAACACCAGGTACCAGCTCAGTCCTACTGATGTCTGCTGTATTTTCTCATGTTTTTGTTTTCCGAAGTTTTTGATATGTTTCTTCTTCTTCAAACAGTGACCTCAATGACCTGAATCAATGTTGTGTCACATCATGTTGCAATTTTATAGCAGAAGGGATTTAGACTCCTGTCTGAATATGAATGTGTTTGAGTTAAAGAATTAACAGAGCAGACCATATGCAAAGGTTAACATTATGCATTTGCTTTACAAATGTTAACTTTCTAGTTATACTTGTGTTTTATCCTTGTAAACAGAATGTTGACATTTTGTTTTGACATCTCCCCTCCAGATAGCAAGTCATCAGCATCGTCATCTGTGGAACAGTTGACAACAACCTTCAGGGACTATGAGCAAGCAGCACCACCTACAAACTATTCAAGACTTGGGACATTTTTCTTCACGGAGCAGGATTTGGAAGATGAAAGAAGTAAAACAAAGGAGCTTACCACAAATGAAAACCTTGGGCTAGACTTCAACAGTTGAGAATAAGCTGACATCCCCCTCTATATAACTCCCAAGTCATTCTTTGTGTGTCAAGTAAAGCCTGATAAATGTAAGGCTGTAGTAGACTGTTGAAGTGTTGCCTTAAGGTGATGTATTGGTCAATGTGAAGTCTTAGAGGGTGCAGGGTCATAAAAGTGGTATAGTCTGAGAAAACTGTCAAATTGTGCTGTATGAAGAGGTGTAGTATGAGAAAGTTGTCAAATTGTGTTGTACATTGAAGAGGAAATTAACCTGAAGTCCCTGAAAATCTTCAAGTCTTGTATAAATCCAGCTCAAATATCATGTAATGGAATGTTTGGCTGCCCTATACCTTTTATAAACCTGCACCACTCCCCTTTATATTTACATTGGCAAGTTCATGGCAGGCACTATGTACTGTCAATCTGTAAGTTTGTCACCTAGATGGTCGTAAAGATGCAATGATGCTGTTTTCTGTCAGTACAAACTTTGTTGTGTGGTGACAGTATGATGAAGAGACGTGAAGGAGCTAGAATTTTCGAAGAAAGGGGAAGGTGGTATGACCAAAAAAACTGAAGCCCCTATAGAGATATTGTATGTACTTTTTGTAGCAGAATCAAAAATCACCAACTGGGCTGGAATACAATGTAGAGAAACTGACACTGTCTTCTCAGAGATACTTAGGATTTGTGTCGAAAGAAAGTTGAAATGAAGGATTTTGGACCATGGCAAGGCAGCAGTAATACTGTCAGATTGAGTTAACTTGTGTGCAGTCAGTAAAGAGAAACTGAAAACAGTGCAAACATTTTGATTGACCAGCAGAATTTGAATATTTCTGTTATTTGGCCAGGATTCCAGAGTGCCTCCCCCTTCTAACATGATACATACTTTGTTAGAGCGAGAAAGCTGACAAAGTTGAACATTCCAGTCGACTGCAAGTATTGGGAGGACATGAAAAATGTGACATGCCCACTATGGAAATGACTGTGGCATTGGTTCCCACCACTAGCAAGCATTAAGTGATCTTCCAGATTGTTAATGTATTAACCATTGTTTTCATAAGTCATTGAAAGTGGGAGCAGCAGAATCTGTGTGTACAGTTGAGTGGTTATCAGGAGCAATGCTACAGAGGAGTGCTAGTGGAGATGGTCTCAAATTATTGGAGAGATTTCTAGACAAGAATTGTATTAAAGTATGCACAGAAGGATTGCACTAAGTTGGAAAGAGAAATCCGGTGAAGTCCGAATGCAACTGTAAACCATTATTACCTTATGTTAGAGTGGAATTTACTTTACTTTGGGCTTACTTTACGGAATGAAATAAGTTTGCTTCAAGAAATATGGAGACCATGGTTTAGTTTCAGAGGTTTGAGAATCATATATATATGTATATCACTTGCAGCCATATAGTGTGATCTATGCCGACTCTGCAGTCATTTATGGTAGCCTTTTTTCTCTTGTTTCTTTGAGCTTTATTTATCAGTGTCCCAGATGGAACCATTAAGTTGGAAGACGACGATGTATGGATTTGAGCATGAAGTGGAGGCAGCAATGGTAATAAAAAATGCCTTTGAACAGCATGTCTACCATGTCAGGTTTAATGTATATTTACAACATTCGGCTCTGACTTCTATCAGGTTTATGATAATGCCAAAGCAGAATAAGCATTTATTGAACAACAAGCCTGCATTGGGACCTACAAATGACTTCTTATTCCCCCATATTTGTTGATTTAATACCATAAGATAATATTGCTGCACCGGGAACTGATGTTAACTCTACCATTGTTGCACACATTAAAAGGCCTGACAAATCGAGCTGTTTCATTTCTTGTAATATTTACGTATAGGATGCCAATTACGGAAGCAGAATGACAAGAAGCAAGATTGTTTTGACTGGGTGTAATGTTGGTAAGGTAGGAACTGCATTGCAAGCAGAACTAAATCAGGACTAGTAATCAGGGTGGTATAGAATAGGACCATTTTCCTGAGGAGGTGTGAAGAGAGAAGCAACATTTTGAGGCAGATTCTGCTTGATGTCACTACAAAAGAAATCTGGACTAATTCCTAATGATCGCACAAATGACTGTCGAAGTTTTTATGCCAGTTGATTTACTGATTTCACTCAATACTTCCCTGATGACTCTCAGGCTTCAAGATTGCGATGTGTTTAGACATCAAGTGGAATGGTAGTTGAGAGGGTGGAAATAGCAGAAGTGGAATAAAGCTCTTGACTGACATTGTACCTCTTGGCTGTTGTATAATTTTTGTCCCTTCCACAATGTTGCATGTTTGCATAGGTCAGTTCACATGTGTGCATATTTAGGTAATGCACTATATTTAGAAACTGTTATATCTTCGGAGGGTTGGACAATAATTTGCTCTTTGATATAGCTCTGCCACAGGAGCACGGTTTCCATGATATACTGTAGCATTTAATAATAACATGCTTGTGATCTGCCATTTGATACGCTGCCCTTTGAATAGAAGTCGCTAGGGTACTTTAGTGAGATCATTTATTCAAACCAACATACCTGCAAGGCAACAAGGTCATAAAAGTCCAATCACAGCTTCCGGTGTCAGTAAACATGTTTTTATGTATCGTATCCTGTATTGAACAGGGAAAAAAAGACAACCGTGTAGCAAATGACAAAGCTCTTTAATGGCAATACCAAAGAAAGCCACGATCTAGGTATGGAATGAACAGTTCACAATTCACTAGT